AGTTGTGATTTTCATAAGAGATAGAAAGGCTTCTGTTCAGTGGTTGGTTTTTTTTTGTTTTGTTTTGTTTTTTGAGTGACTTACCTTGGAAAGCCTATAGCTACCAGAATCACACAGTAATGTGATGGTTGTCATGGAGCATTTTCCTTTCAAGTAGCATCTGATCTTGAAGATATGCAGCACTGGTGCTGTGAAATCAGTTACATCTCTGGGGATAATGAATAAACAGCAGGAAAGTTGGTGCTTTCTTACTTAGTGTACATGACAAATCTGTGAGCATTAAAGATAAGTATTGAAGTGGGAATGCTTGTAGAGGATATTTGTGGCTTAAATATGTAGCCTGTATATTGCCCAGAACTGATGCATCATTGTAAGTGAAAAACACTGAGGTAAGCCTGAACTCTTGTTAACTGTTCTTTCACTGAACAGATGATGTGCAAGATTTCCGCTGTCTGCCTCAGCTACGTAGCAGTGGAGCAGCATTGTAATAATTGTGATAACTGCTTTGAATGAGAAGTCAAAGACAAGAAAACATCTAGAAGAAGCTTTACTGAAGGGCCTGTTTCCTTTCTGGAGGTGATCTCAATGCTTTTCTGACTTTCAGTGTGGAAAAAAAAGTTCTACTAGTTTTGGCATTCTCCTTCATATAATTGGGTGTTTTTAGTGTCACAGTGCAAACTTAGTTTGTTTAACAAACTTAAATCCATCTCTCGTACAGCAGAAAGCTTTTATTCTTCTAGATTGAGTGAATTTTTTCAGTACCTCAGAGCTGACTCAATTTCAGTTTATATCCCTTATGTCTTTTCCTGTGTGATCATTTAAGTAATTGCTATAGAAGACTTGAGAGCTGGTCCTACTGAGGTTAGAGCCAAAATAATGTCACTAAAAGAGCTATGAAGGTGCCTCTGTGTGGTGTCTTAGTAATTTGCTCAAGACTGGAAGTTAAGTGCTGTAAACATTAATACCCTTTGAAATCAGGAATTGAAGAGGTGGATTGTTTATGCTGTTGCCTTTGCTTGTGTACAAATGTAGCAGATAGATTTCCTCTTTTCTCCAGTTTTTGGGGAAAGTGATCTTTATCAAGAGGAAGTGCTGGCAGTAACTGAAATATCCAGGTCACTGTAAGTTCAAGTATTTCTCATTGTTTTAAAGGACCTTTTGCCAGTTACTGGTGCAAGATACTTTAGTTATAAAATACACTGCTTGTTGATTTCTAATGGGATTTTTCTGAAACTTCTTTATATTTTTTTTCCAGTTTAACATCAAATAAATATAGTTTTATTTATTGTACTCAGACCTTTATTTCAAAAAGGGCTTTCACACATTGAAATCATTGGCACTATTAGTTTTTTTATTATTTTTCTGCAAGCAGGAAACATGTTGATATACAGCAACGGAACTTATTTTTGTAAAAGTGGGACCTGAAGCGCTTAAAGTGTTGTCTTTTGGCCTTGCATTTGATTTGAACAGCTGTACTGCTTTTACTTAACAAAATGGTGAAATATATCTGTATTTTAGCTGGAAGAATTCTTTAACATCCTCTAGCTGCCTTTTCTGGGACTGGGAAGAATTAGGAAAGAAAGTGGGGTTTTTTCTACTTCATATGATTAAATGGATGACACTCATGTCACAGATTAGTGGGTGGCTGGAGTTGTTTATCCTATGGTAAACTGGGGAAGCACATCCCTTGGTGTGGACTGGCACCTCTGTGTCTGTGCAGAGCAGTCAGGCAGCAGGGGGGCAAGGAAGCAGGGAGCACCCACCTTGTGTGGGACGCTGCTGCGCAGTTTCCAGGGGAATTTTAATTAAACTTTGTCCTTACTTGATTTAAATTTCTATTTTAACTCACGTTTGTATGCTGTGGCTAAATCAGGTGTATATTGATTCTTCCCACATCTCTCCTTTAATTCTGTAGTAGCCAATAAAATAATGTTTTGGGTTGTTCTAACTTCTAATATTTACTCTGCAAATTAGATTAGAATAGGCCTGCTTAGCTCCCAGCACATCTGGAAGCCATCTGAACATGAAAGGTGCTGTGAATGGGACCATATATGGAGCACCTTTTTCTGACTTCCAAATGTTTATTTTTATATGATTGGTATTTATTGTTATTGGTATTGTTACAATTGCATTTTACCTTACTTAACATTCAGAGAAGAAACTGCCTTAACCATTCTGTGTTTGTAGCAAAATTATTAAAAATGCTAGCAGCCTTCTGGCAGAGATGAAGAGATGAGAGAAAACCAGGCATTTGCTTGGTTGATTTTTATGATGGATAAGAATTTGAAAATGATTCCACCAACTTGAGTTATTTGGATAATGCTGGTTTTGTGATTTTTGGTGGTTGGTCCCTCAGGGTGCCTGAGAGAAGGTGCCTGTAGCAACTTCTTGCTGACTACACTGTGCAAAAGAGGAGGGGAGGGCTTGCAGGTTAAAAGTACTCCTGCAAGTGGATTCCCACCACCCTGTCACTTGCTGCTTTTGCTCTGCAGCTACAGATGTAGTAACATCTGATGTTGTTTGCATTACCAAATAGCAACTCAGGGATCATGTGAATGCAGGTCTCCAAAACAAACAAACAAACAAACCTTGAAAGACCAAATGCAACTCTTTTGGGGGGAGTACAAGACATGAGAGAATAGGTAAAAAATGAAGAAAAAAGTCCCTGTGACATCTGGAAACAGAAAATGAGAGTATGGGGATATCTGTTGCTTAGTAAGACACTTAATAAAGCTCAGTATATCTTCTGACAACATACACTTGGAGGTTTCTCCTCCTTTGAGTGGATTGGGAAACATAAACCTGACTAGCCATAAAAATCTACAAAGATCTGTTGTAGATAAGATAGGTTTGCTGTTCTTTGTTGGGGTAAATGGAAAGTCGACCTCACTACACTGCCTAACCCCACATCATGTGCTTATGTTCTTCATGAGTGTGTCTCCCATCATCTTCCAACTGTTGCACACAAATTTTGTCTCCTTTTTTCTAGTTTTAGCTCTCTGTAGTGTAAGCTGAACACTATAAATAAGCCTGCATTTTACTAAGGCTGCACACTTACTGATGAGTTTGTTTTGGGTTGAGCATGATCTGTAGCAGTAGTGGAGTTCCAGCAATGAAATAGCATTTGTCTGCTTAATGGAAAATAGAGTCCACTAGCATTTGTGAACGATGGCATGTAATCTTCAGGGACTGAATTCTGAGTTCATTTGTGATAAATAACCTGAAGTTGCCTAAAGATGTTGAAGATGAGTACAGAAGGGGAAAGGCATATTGCTTTGCTTTGGGCATAGATTTCTTTTTTCTTTTTCTTTTTCTTTTTCTTTTTTCTTTTTCTTTTTTCTTTTTCTTTTTTTTTAAGTAACATGTTATAAGGGCTTTTTGTTTTTGTTTTTTAATAGTTGTAATTATGTTGTTTTTGGCAGTTAGATGAAAGCTAAGGTTATACAGAACAAACAAACAAAGAGGAGGAGTAAAGAACAGCTTGATTCATAACACACTGTTGTAGAGACTGAAGCTAAATGTGCAGCTGACGCCACATGTCATGAGTCTTAGATGGAGAGAGGTGTGCAACAAAGCTAATTTGAAATATGAACAGAGAGGAGACAAATGTTGATGATGAATGTTCATTGGGTGTGTTTGGACATTTAGGAGTTCTGATGAGCTGGGAGAGGCTGTGAATAGTTAATTATTCAGCACAGAGTTCTGAAGTTCAAAACTCCAAGTACTTTCAGAAACAGCTCAGTCATGTGAACCCTCGTTACACAGTCATCTTTTGCATTGTTGTTTTGGACCTTGTTTGTTCTTCACTGTAAGTGACTTTAAACTTTGTTTTGCCAAAAAATATGTTTCTAATTCTGTGCTACGTGTTTTATGTTACTTCTGTGGGATAAGTCCAAAAGTCAATGTTTTTGTTGTTAATGTAAACAAAGTTTGGTACAACACTGAGATCTAAACTGCAATCATAATTTTGGAATGAATAGCGTGCTCATATATACGTTTGTAGTTTAACTTTTAGTGAGTGTGGCTTCCTTCCAGTCTTTCTCTTTTTAAGAAATAAATTCTCTTGAGACAGTGCATGTCCATATAGGGCTTTTTTCTTCTAATGATGAAATTCTTAATAATAGTATCTTTTCCTCGTGATTATATTGGTGAAATCTAAAGTACTTTGAAGGGAACGTTCTACTATTTGTTGTAGGAAATAACAGAATTTATAGCATAGCATAAACAAATTGAGATGTAGAAAATGTTCCTTTTGGACCATTTTAGATTTTTTTAATGTTTTGCAAAGGTTTTTGTGTATGCATGAGAAATAAGACTGGGAAGAAAAGTGAGAGAATAAATATAGGAAATCAACAGAGGTGGCAGGAAAACGTGGAAACATTTTGTGACTGAAATGTCAGGAAAGATCAATAATACTGCTATTTTATTACTATATAGAACCAAATAGAGTAGAGTAGGTAGAATTTATTTAATAAGTTTTAATAATTAAAAGAATAAATTAGTGGGGAAAAGTACGATTTTTGCCATGCCTGTCTATCCAACAGATTAAACATACAGCACAATTTAGCTGCGTGCAGTGTAGTTCAGTATTTCTGCTTATACCAATCTAGTAAGTCTGTTTGGAGAACACTCAAATAAGGTCTTGGCTTTTTCTATCTCAAGGGAGAAGAAAAGTAATTCATTTATTTTTGAGTGTATATTTAAAATATTAACAAAAGCTTTTAGTTTTGGACTCGCATTATTGGGCATTTGTATTTAAACTTACCATATCAAAAACAAATCCATTTTTATTTGACAAGATAGATATTTTAGTTTGGTTATTTATCTTTGGTCACAACTGACTGTAAGTGCAAAATATTCTCTCATTCTTTCCTTACACATATTGATTTAATGCCATGAGTGAAAAGAATTAAGTTCATGATTCATTCCTGTCTCAAAACTTGTTAGTTTGCAGGCCTGGAATCAAATATTTGACTTTACCTTGTATCCATTTATTTCAGAAGAAAAGCTAAAGCACCTCCTCCTCCATCTGAAGCCAGAACGGTCACTGATTGTCCATTTGATGACACAGAATCAGCCAACATCATCATGGAACAGAAAGAGAATGTAATTGATAAAGACATTGAACTGTCAGTGGTCCTGCCAGGAGATGTGATCAAATACACTACGGTTAATGGGAGGTATGTTACATGGAATGACATTTCTGTTTAATTTTCCTTTCCTACTGAAGTTTATTTCAACCTTTATCCAGGCATAACTCACTCTGTAAAATATACAAGTTTTATAAGACTGGGTGTTTTTGAGTAAATTTGAAAACATATACTTTACTTACCTTTTAGGAAGACTGTTTTTTTTGAAGCAGAAGGTCTGTATGGCACCTATAAGGATGCAAAGATACACCTGTAGTTCTTTCTCATCACTGCAGATCTGTAGAAAAGTGCTGTTTGTGCGGTACACTGAATTTTCACATATGCTTTTTCTTTGTTAGACTTTTCTGCTTCCTACTAAGCTGCAAAGTCATGTGTTCAGCACTTCTACTTATTGCCTACTAGTAGTCCTAAAAATCATCATTTCATACAAAATATATAAAGCTTCAAAGAAAGCTTCTAGTTATAGCTTTGGTAACTTTTTTTTTTAATAAATCAAATATGTTTTGCTGAACCTGGTTTTAATTTGGAATAAATATTTCAGTCTGTTAGTTGATGAAATGGATTGTGCATGTAACTCCCAAGTCACTTTTAGATCAGAAATTGATTGGTGAGTTGAAATCATAAACCCTGGGACTTAACCCACTGAGATAATTAACATTCTGTTCTTACTGAGAAGATCCTGTGCAAACCCTTCTGTAGATCAGAGCAGTTGGAATGCCAGTCTGTGCTGAGTAACATAAACATGTAGCTACGCCAACCTCACGTTATAATCAGAGATACTGACTGTAGTGGCTTAAGTCTGTTTGCATGCCTTGTCATTTGCTAGAGTTGATGAAGTCATTTTTTAGGTATCACACATCAGAACTGCAATAAATTAATTTGTATGGATTATTATTATTTTTTTCTCCATACATCATCTAGTTTTTCAGGATAAGTTAATTCATATTTCCTGAAAATATTATATTTCTTAAAAACAGATGTTCTAAAATAATTCGTTACTACTGTGATACTTTACAGTGTCCTGCTAGTAAGTTTACAGCAAGGAATATTTCTGTCTGTAAATGTGGTTCTTTCCTCTATTTTCTAAATTTCTTAAAGATAAGATTCCATATGCTCACTGTCAAGCAGTTCTCCCCCTTTTCTTCACTCCTCCTGTCCATGCTTCTGAGTACCACACCTGCTGTATCTAGCTTTCCCAAGAACAAAGTGCCAGAAAATTGCTTATTTCCTCACTCAGTCAGACTTCATTGCAAATAGATAGTGTTTAGGAAGTACAGACATTTTCCAATCAGTTTTAATATCCCTTGGTTAGTACTTTTTTCTTTTTCAACTGAGAGTCTTTGTGTCAATTCCTTAAATGGTACCCTGACAAATAACCTGCATTAGTGCTCCCAGGCTCGTTCACAGTGAAGGGGAATACTATCCAGGACCTGTGCTTCAAAGCATCTTTTCTTTCAGCTTTGCATTGTCTAGAAGATTGTATTTTGTGGACAGATAAGCAAGACAGCACTGAAAATGACATAATCTGCTGATTTGTCTTGCTGGTATCCAGAGGTGGGCAGTTTTAAAGCTTTGGAGTGGAAATACCTTTTTATATCTCATATTCGGGGAAAAAGAGAAATGGGGATTTGTGCAATCATGTGCTGCAAGAAACATCTCCACTGTTCTCAGGTGAAATTGGGTGGTTTGTTCCCTGCCTTGGAGTAGTGGATAGCAGGAATAAGATGTTGTATAGGTAAATATCTTTGTGAGTGGTATGCAGTGGCTGATAAAAATGGATCTGTTGTATCTAAATCTTTTCAGAGGAAAAGATTTCAAGAGAGTTAAGTTAAGGATCCTTGAGTTGTTTAAGGACAACTAAAGTAAAAACTGAGAGACTGAGAACAGAAAGGAGGGCTGTAATAATCGCTCGTTGCTCATTTTGAAACTTCGGGCATAGAGTTTGTTGTGTGGGTTCCTTCATGTAAGCCTAGACACCAGTCTGTATTTTGTAGTCATTGGTGATGATGATTCAGTTCAACCATTCAGAATTGAAGGATTTCTCATGGTGTTCTGAGCAAGCATTTATTTATTTATTTTTGAAAAGTCACGATAGGAGCAGTGATGATGGGGGAAGGCACGTGGTTCAAAGAAAGGAATTAACAAAGCTTCAAATTTTTTTCATGATTTGTTTTTGAAATGTTTTTCAGTGTGACATTTTTTGAGTCTTCTCATTAGTTCTGAATAGAGCACAGAATTCAAGAATTGTTTGCAGCCAAAGAAGAAGAAAAATAATTTGACAAATTTCCTTACTTAGTGACTTGTATTCCCATAGTGAAGAAATGTAGTTTGAGAAAGATTTTTCTAATTGAAATAATTAGTTTCAATTGTATGTGCTAGTGAACTATCTTACAGTTGATTTGTTTGGAATTTGTGCATTGAATTATTTTCCTGGTCTGCATTTTTATGGCTTTAATTTCAGACACATTTCAGACCTTAGCTTGGCTAACTTCGTTTCTTTACAGCCTTTTGAGTTTCCATTTGATCCGTTCTTGAGTATTTTCAGTCATTAGGGTTTGCTTAGAGAACTGTTGGTTTACTCTGTATGGTGAATAGCAAGCTTTGTGGTGTTGCCCTACTTTCCAAAATCTATTGTACTTACATTTGTTAGTAACACATTCTGGAGGGTTTGGTGTTTTTTGTAGTTCTCTGTCAAAACAAATGCCTTTTTCTTTTTAGAGAGTAGCATTAATGAGCACTTTAGCCAGGGAGCTACATACTTAAGTAATCAGAGGTTTATAGGAAGCCTAATTGCCTGTGTGTAGGTTTATTTTATGTACGTATGTATTTTTATTTTTGTTCATCTTCCTGCCCACCTAGTAATCTTTATGGTGGCTATTAACTGAGTTTTGTCTATTTGGTGGTGTTTCTCATTATACTCATGATGAGAAGACCGTGCCTCTAAAACTTGATTAGGTAGGAATACGTAATTAAAAAAAAAAAAGGCAGAATGTAGAAACTTGATGGATATTTTCTTGAAACGCTTGGTCCAGTATTTGAAGTGATATCTTTAATGGCTGGTTTTGAACTCAACTTGCTATAAACATAATATAGTTTGATGTATTCTAGATGGAAACTCATCATAAATGGGACAACTATTAGCCAGTTCTTGCTATCATATAGTCATATGGGAATAACCAGAGGAAAACAGATAAGGAATGGAGAAGTGCAAGAACACTTGTCATGAGAGATTTCCAGAAAACTAAGTAATGTAATGAGTTTAAAGTAATTGCGAATAATAACTTTACTGAAATGAGATGAATGGACACCAGCAGATATTATACTCCAAAATTGCTGCTAAGCTCCTCTTAGTTTTACTCATTTGAAAGCTGTTAAATTTACTGTATTACATGTACTTCTGTACCTTCGTTCTTGGAAGAGTTTAACAAAAAGTAGTTTTATGAGTTTTGGAGAATGTGATTACGAAAATTTGCTTTTTGTATCATTCTAAGGAAATGTAAAGCGCTCGTGGCTGGCATCTTGGCCTCCAGCAGTGTGGGGAGTCTGACATCCTTTAGTCACACAAGTTGTTTTTGGAAGTAGAAAGCAAATTTACAGTGAAACATTGCCCTTATGTACTTTTGCATATACTTGTCTGTTTATGGGCAGCTGTGTTTCTTGCTTACTGGCCTGCCACTATTTGTGACTGGTTAAGGTGAGGGCTTGCCCCCTTCACCGTGGTGTGTTTGCACTGAAGGGCTCTCTGTGACCTTTGCCTATGAATTCCTATCCTGCTCATCTTCAGCGTTCCTATGTTGCTCCTGCTGGGAGAAAAGGTAAACTTCTTGGATAGCCTGCTAACCAGAAGGCAGACAGTACTTCTAGTGGTGACTTCTCTGTGGTGCTTTCTCTGGCTGCCTCCTCCCACACCAGCCCACCCCCAGTGAAATGTGCATTTCTAGCTCCTTATCTTCTCTAATGAAAGGGAGTGAGATGGATGCAGTTGTTTTGTTAAGGGTTAGAAGTAAGAGAAACAGAATAGTCCTTCTTCCTTGTGATTGAACCAGGCTGTGATATATAAATGAAGAACTGAAATAAAGTCTTTCTTTTTATTAAATGAAAAAACAGTTTCTTGTCATCATTGTTTGTTTGTTTTTAATTTAGTTTTCACTGCATTTCTCATGGTACTTTTAGGCTGACATACATCATCTAGATGAAGACGTGGGAGTTAATTACATTCTTTATATCTTTTCAGACTATTTGATAGCCGTTTTCTGTCACTTTATGGGGAATTATTTCTCCATGTATTTTGGCTTTGTTATGCCACCTGCCTTTTTCTCCTGAGGCAAGGAATCTCTTCTACCACTTAACTAGGCAGAAGCTTTCTCTTGAAAAAGAAGTAACTGGAAGGAGTTGTGTGTGCACCAGGGAGTCCAACTGAGCCAGTAGAATTTAGAAGACAGTCTGCTTAGGGGGAGGCACAGGATTGTTCTTTAAGAAGAGATGAAAATAGGAGTTAAATTCTAGGGTTTATTAAAGGGGAAAAAATAATGCTGCAATGATTTTTAAGCTTCAGTCATTCTTAATTCTTTTTTCAGAACTGGATTGTATAAAAAGTCTGTTAAAATTCATACTTAATGTATAAATATATTCATAATCTTTGTCGTCTAGGATTCTGCTTAGCTTGATGACTGTTCAGATATCTATTTCCACATTCTGTTATGCTACCAGAAGACTTCCATCTGTTATGCTTACATCTAGAATTTAAGATTTTTGATAAACACAAACTAGCCAAGTCTTGCATTAATTTTCACTTAGACACTTCAGCATTCTTTCCAATGTATCGTTTGATTGCTTCAAACTTCTATATTATTTTCATAATATCCTTGTGAGACAAAGTAGGTGATATATTCCCTTGTTTGTAATTATAACTGGGAAATGTGGAGGATGTCCACATGAAATACTCCTTAAAAATGATTATCCAATGCCAAAAATTAGGACTCATGCTCCAGTGACCTGGTAATTCTATAACTGTATTCAGTTGGCAGTAGTGTACAAAGTTGGCATACTCTCCTTATCTTCAGTGCATTTAATCTTTCTATTATACTTCCGTTTGAAGTACAACTTCAATAAATTCATTCCAGTAGCAACTGGGAATGTTCAGACTATCTTAATATGTTTTGTGATTTTTTTTTTTTTCCCCACTGCTCACTAAGAGCAAAGGGCATACTGATAGCGATCATGTATGTAAAATGCGCCTGGACTTGGTTCGCTGTGAAAAGGACATCTGTTGCATCTCACAGATTTTTATCAATGAAAATGAGATTCAACTACTGTACTGTGATTTAGCTTCTTCACCTTTATCTGCATGGCTCTTATTTTGCAAACCCTAAATCCTTGAAAGGTGACTTCCTCAAACTTCATCTTACCTGCTTCTTCTGCATGGCTCGTGCTGAGAATTTCTGTAAATTCATGTCTCTTGTAACCTCAGAGTAGATATAAAAATTTGAAGCTGTGGAAGAATATTATTTACTGAACAGAAGGGCATTCATCACAACTACTGCAGTTCCCACTAATGGTCAGATGAGGTGGCTAATCCGCATCTCCATGCTGGTCCTGAGAAAGCATCACTTTAGATAAGCAAAAATGCCCCCCTTTGCTCTAGCTCTTGCTATACTTCTATATAATCTGTTTCATTTTAGTGATTTTTAAAAAAATTCATTTTTGTTTTTAATTTTGTTGTTGTAATTGAAGATATTTAAAATCAGTGCCTGACAGTAACTATTTAGTCATGGAAGGATAAATGCTTAGCATCATACTTTGTTTAATAGCCTGCTTAATTATCATCTGTTGTAGCTGTTTGATTTGCATTTGACAGGAAGCCCATGATGGACTTGCTGATCTTTCTCTGTGCACAGTATCATTTAAACCCCTCAAGTTACACAATAGAGTTGATATCAGCAGAAAACAGCCAGATTAAATTCAAACCTAATACACCAGTGGGAATGCTTGAAGTGGAAAAGGTCATTCTGAAACCAAAACAAGTGGATAAGAAGAAACCTGCTCCAGTGATACCAGAGGTGAGGACTAAAATTATAGCGTACTGAGAAACTAGAATTACTATTGTATATTGTATTCAACAACTTAAGCTGATAGATCAGCCTCTTGTTTCACATTTTCCTGTTATTTCTCATCCTCTCACTATGCACCCCTGTGAAAATCTTGTCAATGTACTATTAATGACCTCCTAAAGTAAAAATATATCTTAATTTGTTCTGTCAAGCATCTTTGCTGCCAAAGGAAAGAAACATCACAATATTATTTGAGATCCTATGCCTTAGTGGCCTTAGTGTGCATCTGAACATTTTTGAAGATGGAGTATGGCTGAATACATCCTTCTGCAAATTGAAAATCAAAAACTTGTAACATCTGTCATGTTGTGTACAAGATTATGGACATAAAAAAAAATATAGTACCCGTACAACCTTGTGAATACACATTCATTTTCCTTTGTTACATGCTACATGGAACATGTTACAAGTTTCTAATAATGTTGCTTTTTTTTTTTTTTTTGCTTTTTTTTTTTTTTTTTTTTTTTTGCTTTTTTAAATATACCCTCAAGAACTCAGGGGCTTTTAGAAGTGCTGAAGCACTTTCTGGGAGTTGCCTAAATCTGTCTGTCCTTCTCTGTCACTATAGAAGAATACCGTGATTTTTTGGTGGTGGTGGTGGTGGTGGTTTTGGTGGTTTTTCTATTTTTGTTTTAATCTATCTAAAGCACTTACATGAGGTCGGGATCCTCTTCAGCTGCCCTTTTAACTTGGTTCTGTGCACACACGTTGTGCAGGTTCTCGTTGCTCATTTGCTGTCTTCTCTAGCTACCTAGTGTGATGGTATGCCATCCTAGTCCATGTGTGTTCCCTGCTGGGCAGACAAATGACAGATGCTAAAGGAGCAGGCTATTTCAAGTGTCCTTTCACTGGGTAAAAAAGGAATTACAAAAGATTTCTTAGTTTCTCTTGTATTGTTACTGAATATATAATATTGAATCTGGCCTAATCATAATTCTGGTGATTACTGTAAGACTGTTATGAAAATGCTGGTTGTTTCAAAATTTGTGTAGGATATTTATTGGAACTCTTTTCTCTTCAGCAAACAGTAAGAGTAGTGATAAACTACAAGAAGACACAGAAGACGGTAGTAAGAGTTAGTCCATATTCACCTCTTCAAGAACTCATACCAATTATCTGTAGTAAATGTGAATTTGATCCTTCAAACACTGTTTTACTGAAGAATTATCAGTCTCAAGAAGCACTTGATGTGACAAAATCTCTTAATGATCTTGGCCTAAGAGAATTATATGCCATGGATATCAGTCGAGGTAAGAAAAGATACCTTTGATAACTTGTTATTATTGAAAAGATAATTAGATAGTATTTCCATAAGATTTGCTTTGGTGTGAGTGGGTTTGGCTTGGTTTTATTTATTTATTTATTTTTAAAAAAGAAGGAAAGCAACTCGTGAAGAAATTAGTCTCTCACAATTCAGTATGTGCTTAATTGATATGCCACAAAATTGAAACTGGGACAAGTGTACCTTTACTTATCCCAAGAAAGGAGCATAGGTGGCCAAGTACAAAGCATCCTTTAAAAAAAAATCCCTTTTTTTCCCCTGCTTTTTCTCAAAACATACCAGTAATGCTGAATTTCCCTTAGCTTACAGAGAATGTGTAGGATCGTAATACGCTGAGAACAGAAGTATTATAGAAACACAGCTTTGTTCTATAATTTTGAAATATTAGAATACTGTGATAATGCTTTTCAGTGTAATTTGAGCATTGTTTGGTAATTTCTTGTGTAGGTCATGAAGGAACAATAATTATCTTTTTAATTATGGTCCAACAGGAACAGTATTAACTAACTTGCCTATGTTTGTGTACACATTCTATTTCCATTCTATTTCTGGTTTTCACTATAGCTGTAAGACTATCTTTATTTTACCATGATTAAAAATACTTCCCAAAGACCAGTTATATTGAACTGCAGGAGAATGTCAGATTTGGAAATTAGGCCCCTTTTCCATGGAGAAAACCGGAGTATTTTTTTTGTCACAGGGAAAAAAACAAAAACAAAAAATACCAACAAAACCTACTGCTTAACTGTGTTGTTTGAACTACATGCACCCATAGTGAATTATCTTCTTTGTCATCTGACTGCCACTTTCTTCTACAGACTGGCAGTGCTGCCTTTGTGGCATAAACTGCATGTCATTTGAATGAAGTAACAGCCAAAAATCCTTAGGAGAGAATGCAGGAGGGGACACACTTCCCACAAGACAGTTGCCCACTAGGAAGTTCAGACAAACTACAATTCATTCAATACTAAGTAGTTTAGCATTTCCATTTTGCATACAACTTAAAAGCTCTGAATTTTTCACTTTTAATGAAAGTAAATGGTGAGGTGTGCCTTTATATGACAATTTAAATCATGTTTTACTCAGACTATATTTCCATTATATTCATTGCTCTCCATGCAGTCTGCATTGCAGTCTGCATTGTATGCCTTCAGACTCACTGTTAAATTTTATGTTGCATTGAGTGATAAATATATGCATTATTTTCTTCAGTTATTTTTCCTAACATAAGATTCAGCTTGGTTTTCTGTGTTTGTAACTTAAAACTGCATCCTTCATTCCACTGGGTATTTTCTGTCTTTCTTTTTTGTCTGTCTTGTAGCCACATCACCAGTTGACTTAAACTTGCCATCCTTGAAAGGTAGGCCTTACTGAAATAGGCTGTAAAACTGTACAACTTGCATGACGTTATCATTCTCTCCTGTAATAATATCTGCTTAACTGTGACTTCAGCAATCATCTCTGACCTATCATAAATGCATATTAAAAAAAATGTACAAATGTATATACCCAACTATGTATAAAGTATTTTTGTATGATTTTACTTAGATTGCTTCAAAATTTATACTCGTGCTTGCATTCATCCTATCCTGTGGTGTATTGCTACTGCCTTCTGTTTGTTACTGCACTTGCATTCAGTGGGATTTCCTGATGGAAATAAAATCTAGTAAAAATTACAGAAAGACAACCTCTATATTTACAAAATGTCGATGTGAATAAGGGCACGTAAAGCAAGATTTGATTATCTTTACTATGACTGCCATTCCTGTTAGATGCGCAGCACCTACCTGGTCTTTCGGTGGTGTATGCCAACTGGAGGCCTGTACCTGTCCTGCCTTGCTTCACACCATGCTCTGTATTTAAGCTGTTAGGAACTGTGACCTGGGGAGAGCTGATGCTTTTTTCCCTCCCATAGCCTTTTCATATGAGCTGTAGCATTTGACAAGTGGGATGGGCTGGGGTAAGTTCTGGAGGTATTAATAGCAGCTGAAACTCATCTATTCTGAGCTCTGAGAAAGGGTAAGAAACATGTTCCTTTTGCAGCTTTTAGTAGAACTATTAGTATAAGTGATTTGTGGTGAGCTTTGTATATTACACCAGAAGGCTTATGACAGGCAGAGAAGAAGTAAGAATGCAGGAAAAATAATCTCTGCAAAAAATAACATCTAGAACTCTTGTCTTCTATTTTAGACTCCTATCGTGTGTCTGAAAACTCAGATGTTTTAAAAGAGAAAGAAAACAAAGGGTTTTTCAGCTTTTTTCAACGAAGCAAGAAAAAAAGAGAACAAGTAAGATATAAAAGTTCTGCTTATACAAAGTTATAAACATATTCATAGTGATCCATCAATACTGTTGAATGTTTTCCAGAAAGTTTAAGTAACATATATATATATATATATATATATTTTTTTTTTCCCACCCAAATCCCAAGACTGCCAGTGCCCCAGCAACTCCATTAATGAGCAAGCCAAGGCCAACATTTACCACGAGATCTAGCAGTGTTAGCAAGCAGTATGATTCCAACACTCTGCCATCTGAAATGCCGAAAAAACGGAGAGCTCCTCTACCACCTATACCAAATTCTCAGAGTGCCCCCCAGGAACTTGCAGAAGTCAGGACAGAAGCTGGTACTGTGAAATCTAACAGCCTTGACAGAAACGAACAGGTTAGTAGCGTTTCTTTCACTTCTTCTAAAACAAGAAGTTTAGAGCTGATAACATCAATAACCTTGTTATATATCTGCCTTGAAATTAATGCTTGAAATTAGTGAAAAATAAAGCTGTAGTATTTGCTTTTGAAAATTTTAGTTTGAAAATAACTACAGAAATTGGAAGATGTGTTTCTTCTGGTCTCCTTGCCATATATCCAAAGTAGCTGATCTATTTTGAAAAAGCAAAATAAACTTTTTATATCACAGCTGCATAAGCTGTGAGGACTTTCTTGCTCTTCTGGATGAATAATATATGTATGTTTTTTTACTTAAAGTTTACACAGATATTCTCTCTCTCTTTTTTTTTTTTTTTTGTTTTACATGGTCTCATTTTAGCATGTTTTGTAATCGATTTCTTTTCCTGTCATTTTTAATGTTTCAATTATATATGATTAAGAGTAGTTTGTTCATCGTGCTACTTGAAAAAGGTTGAAAAAGGTGAAAATCTTGGGAAGTACTCTTAAGAATCTTGTGCTTCCAGCAAGTTGAAGTTTTATTTTAGTAAAATGGGAATATATTTAATTGAAGCCATGAGGTGCTGGATATATATTAAGTTACCCATATACTCGTTGCACTGCAGAAATTCAGCCAATGGAATTTGGGGAAAAAATGAGACATTATGCAATGTCAAGATATTACCTCTATTGCCAGTTAGGAATTCCATTATCATTTTAAATTGAGAATAATCTTTTTTTTTTCTTGTTTCTTTTTTTTTCTTTAAAACCAGAATCTAAAGATGGTCTTCAGTAAATGAGTTTATCTGCATGCTAGAAAGATAAATTATAGAACTAAATGAAATGCAAGTCTGAGGGATTTATTGTTTATTACACTTGGAAGAAAAAGAAAGAAATTTCAAGCTGTGACTTTGTTTATATGTTGATTTGATTGTTTACTGTTGCACAGGACCACAAGAGAGCACTGTTTAACATACATTCTGAATTTGCGTATTCTATCTTGCTGAAAAGTTTTAACATTAAGAGACAACTGTTTCTTTTTGTATTCTAATAAAAGGAACTTCAGGGGAAAAAAAATTCTGTTGGTTTTGAATCTGTCACTCCATGAAATAACTTGGATTTATTATTTCATACTGACATTTTTTATTAATCTAAAGTGATTTGACAGAAATTGAATAACTCATGAAAAGGATTCCTTTGAAATGACTCCTTTTTAATTCTGATTTGTTATTACTTTTTTTTTGTGTATTGCAAAGCTTGGGACCTACGTGTATGTGAAGATTTGCTGTAGTTTGAATTTTATTAATTCATGTAAGATTTCTTTTTGCTATCTATAAGAGCTGCTCCTAAATTAGTGCTTCCTATTTTATTATGTTGATCAGCAACCTCAGAGGTGGGTGTTGGTGTTATGGCAGTAGAAACTGAATCTTTCTGTTGCTATTCCATAATGTTTTGTGGCTACGCAACAAATGGCAGCAGAGGGGCAGTTTGGCAGAATAGCATCTGATATGGAAGTGCATATGAAGCAAAGGTGTGTCATATAATTCCTCCATGAGGGAAAAAAATTGCACCCATTGGCAGTCATTATCTCTTGCTGTACATTTATGTAAACCAGACAGTGGATGTGAGCACAGTGAGGTGATGAGTGGTACGTTTCAGCAGTGGGAATTGTGATGATAAAGGCAACCCATGTTTTGGCAGCCATGCGCAGTTGTCACACCATGAAATGAAGAGCATCTTGATATGCTCATCAATGAAAATTGGTGGACTGTGACCGGGGAACTGTTTATGGAACTGAATATCAACTTCAGTGCAATTGGAAACAACAATGACAATGCTGGAATGTTGCAAAGATTGCACCAGGTGGGTTCCACAGATGCTCCTGGCGGAAGAGAAAGAATATCATCTGCAAGTCTGTCAGGACCTACTGAACAATATGAGGCTGAATGTGATAGTTCCCTGGATTTTGCATTGTTAACCTTTGCTGAGATGTGGTAACACCAATATGAGCCAGAGTCAAAACAGCAGTCCATAAATTGGCAATGTGTGAATTTCCTGTTGAATAAAAAGTTCAAGATGCAGCCCTCAGTGGGTAAGGTGATGTGCTTTGGGATTGGTAAGGTGTGATTCTTCCAGATTTCCTGCATCTCAGACAAACTCTCAACTCTGACCTCTGCATCATGATGCTAACTAAGCTGAAGGCTTGAACTTCATAGTCAGGCCAGAGAAAACAACAACCTTTCTCTTGCAAAACAATAACAGGCCTCGTACCAGTTTGAAGACCATGGAACGTATTGTCAATCTTGGCTGGACTGTCCTACTATACCTGCCACATAGTCCAGATTTAGTGCTTTCTGACTTCCTTCTGTTTATGCCAAAGAAGAATGGACTGCACGGGCAACATTTTCCTAGCAGAAATGCCCTCATAGCAGCTGTGGAACAATGGGTCACATCCAAGAAGGCAGATTGAAATATCAGTTTTATCATGATAAACTGTTTGCCTGGTCTTGATAGCAACATGCCGAAGTAGTAGCATTAGACAGCTGTGAAATGAGCCAACTTTAAGGGAATGGTGTTCTCACTGTTGTCTTTCTGCATATTCACAGTGTATTGTAGTCCAATTTCTCATGATAAAAAAAAAAAAAAGGGTTTTAATGTTTACTTCCTTCACCTTCTTTGCTTCTCTTAAAAAAAGAAACTGCTTTCTCTTTACATGAACAGTTGCACTCTGACATGAAAATAAGATTTTTTTTTTTCCACCTCAGTTTCAGAATGATTACCAAAGTAGTTTTTGAAGATGTTTTCTTACTTTTAGGTGAGAAATTAGTATGATGGCTGTAAGGCTGTAGATTATACAATTTAGGGTAGCATGAGTTGTTCATTCTTTGCAAGTTGCAGAAGATGACTACTACAGCTTAAATATGTATTTTTGTCCAGTAATTCCAATGTTAAATCAAAATGGAAAACCTCTCCCTTATATACTGGTTCTAATTTTGGGCAAGGTGGCTCTTGCCAGAAATATGTTTAGAGCAAGCTAGTTTAAACATATATGCAGTCTGTCTATCTTCTGTTTTCATAAAAGTGGACGCGGTATTCTAGTAATAGCTATTTTTTAAAAGAAAAGCATTTCTTTTAAGTTGCTATTTTTCCTCCAAATGCTTTATTTATAGAAAGTAAATAGTGATATATTTGTATTTCTTTTTCATGAGTATTTGTCATCTTACACTGTTTCCAGTTACTGTAAAGAAGTATACATAAGCTATGCTTGGATAGGAATGAATGTTTTTAGTCAAAACATGTACGGTTTGAAATGATGGACAGAACAGCACAACTGTAGAAATACAGCTAGCTTTTATTTACTCAACTGTAAATCTCAAAGAAATTGAAATCTCCAGTCTCCCTGTTAGAAAAGAAAGGAAAGGAGGAGTTGGTGGAGTAAAATAAAGGGGTTAGAAAGCAACTAAAGCATAAAGTGTGCCTGAAGAGGTTTATTAGTCACTGTCATGGAACAACTTGGAAGATTGCTAAGGAGGATGAGTTCCATACTTCAGAAGTTAGATCAGAAGCTCAGTAAAACAAGGACACGGCAAGCACCATGAGCGTTAGGAGTACTTCAGTAGAGCCAGTGCTCGCTGTGGGATGGCAGTGCTCTGAGCTGCCCTGTTATCTTTTGCTTAAGTTTGCCTGAAGACCATCTGATACCATTTTGAAATGATTTGGAATTGATGTGGATACTGCATCACCTATGTCTTCTATATAAATACCTGACTTTGTCCCCCTTTTGTTTCATCTACCTCTTGTACTAGCGAGTTTTAGAGCTAGGGAAAAGGTGTATGATTCAGACAAATCATGCAGGCGATGAGTAACGTTGGGTTTTTGTGCAGAACACTGTCTACTGTATTTTTCCTAATATATTCTGACATTCTTCCCCTGTATGGCCTCTTCTAAACATGCTTAACCTTGGAACAAAAGGGGTGCTGGTAATACGAAAATACATACATAGTGACAGTTTTTGCATGGTATGCTTTTAAACACACTGAAAATGCTCCACTCTATTTTTTTCCCCTGTACTTAACGTTTTTCTTCTATCACAGCTGCAAACTATTTTATTTGGCTTTCTTTTGCTTTTTTTAAAATGTTAGAAGGGGTCAGCACCATGTCTGCCATAGCCTAGAGAGGCTGGAACACGGGAAACAATGGTCTCTGTAAGTGTTGGCTTAAGCTGGTGTGGGATTTGGTGCCAAATGCCTCTACATACATTTGAGGCTAAAACTTTTCATGTCCATGCTTGTTTTCTCCAGAATGAGGAAGGTGTACAGTGTGAAAAGTAGAAATGTTCTTCTTGTTGTGGAAGTTAACACAAAAGTGTTCACTCCTGTTTCTCCTTTAATTACTTCAGGGATGCTAACCTAAACTTCAATTAAAGTTCAGCTGATAAAGCAGCTTTAGCTGGTATGACAAATGAATGCCCAGATGTACATTCTAAAACTTTGTCAAATATATCTCAATACCATTATTTTTTTCCATCTGTTTAAAGTACTGTTTTCACATTACAGTTTTTGTTAGGGTTTAAAAGCTCTTAATATTCATATGTTGAATAATTCCTTAGAAAATCTGTTCAGCACTTGAACCGTAACTGGAACATTTAGTACTTTATCGAAATCTCTTTGCAAACCGTTTATTTCTTTGAATGCAAAGGGCAGGAGAGAGGCTTATAAAAATCTTTTAGGAGCATTTGTGCTCTTATGCTGAGAACATTATTCTCACCCCTACACATACACCCTTTCTTATGCAGGTGGAACGCTGGTGACATCTGTTTTACTGAGTGAATGAGCATAGAGCTCCATGCCAGCTGAGTCAGCAGCTGAAGGGAGGCTGTGCAAAGCAGCTGAGGGTGCAGACCTCTGAATGGAGCAGAGGGGCTGCAACTTGGAGAGTAGATACCACAAGGAAAGAAACAGAACCAACCCAATGGCAAGACGGGGATGGTTTAATAATAATAAAACCTTGTTTGTGGAAGTAACATTAAATTTGACATTCCATCCTGCAAAAATTCAGATGCTGAATACTATTAATTTAATCTCCTGTAGAACTGTTTGGGAATGGTGAATGAGAAACTAAATAAAAGTGAAGTTTTCTTCAGCATGAGGCAAACTGTAGTTAAAAGTGGCAGGCAGATTTACAGCTGCTGTCTTTTGGAATTGGAGTGTATTTAGATAACAATTTAAAGATCAGTTGGACTGTTGGAGCATACAAACAGAAGCCTCAGTAGGTACCACATAAGTAATCTTCGTTGATTTCTTTTTTAATGCTTTTGATTATTTGTAAATTAAGAACTCAGTCTTCTGCTATGATAATATGAGGGGATTATTACAGTTGAACATTGGTGGTTAGTATAATTATTTTTATTGTGATTTACTGCAATTTAACATAAATAGATAAGACAGTTTGTCACGGAGTTGACTAGATCAATCTATGTCCGTGACAGGGGCGACAGGCCTCTGCCCTCCCCCCCCACCCCAGTCCCACAGAAATGGGAAGGAAGGAAGGGAGGAAAAGAGCAGCGGCAACAATCTATGGAGGAAAACTTATTTTACTGTAATATTGGAATACAAGATAACAAAATATAATACAATTTAATTGAAATTGGGATTAATAAATCAGACAAGATGAGAGAGAGAGAGTTCCCGGGACCGAGTCAAACCTGAAAAGCTTGGAACGGCCAGGAAAGCGCCTCCAGCACCCACTGCCAGGCAGCAAGAGAGCGCCCCCCACCCGGAAGGGCCAGATTCCATGACTGCTGTAATGTACAGGGATAGGTAGCTGGGATTGGGGCAGTGACACTTTAATGCCCCGTACACTACATGATGTTTTGATGTGGAATACTGAAACCATAAAAAAAAAACAAGACAAAAAACAAAAACATAGAACCATGACACAGTTGTGCTTTCCAATATAACTTGTGAAAGATAGCATTAGAGAAATTTCTACAAAAGTTCAAGTATTTTAAGTAGAGTAACAAAATCCTATTAGTTACATGTCTAGTCTAATTAAGTATGCTGTTGAAGGAACAGGGAAGGAAACACTGTGTAATTTCTGTTGTGTCTAGCTGAAGGAAGCGTTCTTTCATAATTACTTCACCTACTTAGGAGGTTTCTTTGAGTTTTGTAGAATGGCCTTAGTAGGTTATAAAGGAAAAAATTATCTTTTATGTTATACATAATAACTGACTGTTTTTCTGCTGTCTTGCATCTCTATGTATATATTCAGTTTCTCTAGAAAGTACTGTTTTAGTTCATTATTTTATTTTTAAATTGAAGTAAAAAAGTGAGAAACCATCATATGTTTGGTAATAGGTGGACACTCTCTCTTGTCCAAATATATATTAAAAATACTTACGGAGAATAATGACAAGAGCTATTTTTCTGTCTTTCATTACTAATAATCATTTTCCACCATGTCTACCTTCATAGGCCCCTTCGGGATTAGTAAGAAAAGGTTCTCTGCCGCTCAGTGACACAGCTTCTGTGAACTCTCTACGGAGGATGAAGCGCAAAGCACCCTCACCACCCTCTAGAACACCAGAAGATCAAAGTGAAAGCAGTAATGAGACTGGTAATCTTTTTATACTCTTTAATTAGGAGGCAACAGAAGGCATGGCAATTTGGCTAAACATTAAAGAAACACTGCCCAATAAGATAAGAACTTTAAGTAAAAATATGAGTGTTAAAGATCTTTGGATTTTAGGGAAATAGTAATGCTACTTTATGAGTTTGACTGATGTAGTGTGAAAAACACAAGTTTTAGGGCATACAGATTAGTATCAAATATGCACACTCACCCAATTAGTTATTGTTAACTATAGCAATTGTTTTTGTGTTACACATATGAGGAGAGAAGATTTGCTTCTCTGCATCAGAGAGGGATTAATAGAGGGGCCTAATTAATAGGAAATGGGCCAAGAAGGAAAAATTTTGTTCTTGACTTTTATAATTCTTTCATTTGATGAAAAAGTCAACTCTCTGAGGTTCAAAAATACCTAAGGTGTAATATTAAAAAACCTGGGAAATATGATAACAAGCACTGGTTACTTAAGAGAAGGTGCATTTCTTGAAGTACTCAGCAGTCTGTAAGATATTAGTTTAACATAGAAATGGAGGGACGATACTTGTTACCTGACGTGTTGTATTTTACTTCTTCAGTAACAGAGTCAACAGAATCAGTCCTTACTGAAGTGGAAGGAAGAGCTGGTGAAATGCAGTCTGAAACAGGTTGGCTTTTTTCCAAATGTATCAGTTAAATGTATGTCATAATAAACCGTTGTAAGTCATAATAATAAATTACTATACTGTAGATACAGACATGTAGATAAGTACATACTAACTTCAGTGCTTCAAATCAATTAACTTTTCAATTGAAAGATGAATAGGATTTTCTATAACAAAGATATACAGTAAATTTTGTATTGATTTCTATGCTTCACATTTAAGAAACTAAGCATCCCCTCTTTATCCACAAGACAAGGCAGGAACAAGCTAGAATCTTGGTGACTTTTGTATATCCCATAACAAAACATTCAAAAGCTAAAACACAGTCTTGTTTCCAGAATCCTGTTGTGCTGCCCTTAACATGCACAATCTTAGGGGTAGGAGAAAATTTGTGCTTGTTTTTTGGTTTGCATCTGAACAGCCTTTGAAAACATAAGTTATAAATGTAACTATCAACTGTATGTATACATAGTTCTTTATAAATTATTTCATTTGTTGGGTACTGTAGAAAAATATGATAAGTATAGCTATTCAAAATACAGTTCCTTAGCTGCTGAACAGTATTTTATTGTAAGGTCTTGGTTTTCTTGTTTGTACTACTAAGTACTGCTATTGGGAAGTACAGTTCAGATACAAGGTAGAAGACCTCTAGATCCTTTACAATTTTGTAAAGCATTTAGAATAATCAGTGCCAGCGCAATCTGGAAAAATTAGTCTTCTGTATATTTCACTAAGGATGAAATATATGAACACTAAACATTTGGAACTACATGAGTAGTGTATGAGGTTCTGTTTTAGTTGATAGGCACTCAAGTATAATAGCTTTTCAGTTAGTTCATTGGAATTGTCAGTCAAAATGGTGGTTGGAGTGGTTAAGGAAAAAAACAAAACAAAACATAAATGTACCAAAAGAAGAACAAAAAAATGTCATCTGCTTCCTTAGGTCTCTGGTGAAGGGGAAAAAAAAAAGTAGAAAGATCAGTCATCAGTAAATTTGTGTCACAAATCTCCATTTGTGACATTTAATAGAAACAATAGCAAGCAAACACTTTGAAGAATAAAGTGTGTACTTGATAAATAGAAAGTATTAGCTTCTGTTGTGCATCTGAATTTGAAAACTGTTGAATATTGTTTTTTTAGTTGTAGCAGAAGAAAGGTGGTGAATTATAACTTAGTGAATCATTCTTAATATTTATTACTACTTAGTTTTCTGTGTTCAAAACCTTATTCATCTACGTGGGATGGATCTAACATGAAGAGCAAGGTTATTATTTAATATTAAGCTTTTTTGTTGTTTTCTTGAGCTTGTTTCTGTTTTAAGATAAGTAGATAGAATTTCTTAATTTTCCACAAGTATAATATCTTAAGTGCTGCGCAAATAAGCAGTCTTGAGCTTCTTAGCAATAGCTTGATCACTTTTCCGTAGACTCAGTAACCTGTGTTTGAGGTATTTGATTTCTTGTGATTAAATGTTTATTGTGTAATATAGAAAGAAATGGACAAAAAATAATCATCCTTATTGGGTTTAGAACAGTCTTTGTGAGGCTTGAGATTTAATTCCACAGTTACTGACATTTTGCATTCTCTAGTTCTGTTTGTGGTGTCTTGTATTCTTATAATATCCTCTGCCGAAGACTTAGTGCAATGCATTTTCTTTAATGTAGAGATGGTTACATTGCATTGTCTCATTTCTTTTTTTTTTTTTTTTTTTTTTTTTCCTCATGGGATACTACTGCTCTCTGGTGGCATCTCTGAAACTGTCTACAGGCCTCTTTATAAAGGGTCCTTTTAGTACATGCTGTGAGAACCAGTATTTACCTGCAGCCAAATTAATCTTGCAACTCTTGAGTTAATCCTGGTCTGAAAATTATTTATCAAATTTGGGCACTTTTTAATATAGATAAGATAGAATAGTCAGTATCTCTTCAATTGTTAAATTGGATGTAATTTTAGCATTACATTAACTCAGTAGTTTCCTCTGTTCTTGTTAATACTACTTGAAGTGTCAGGGGTCCAGAAGCATTGAGTTTTTACTCAGCTGTGACTAACATTCTCAAAGCAGTTATGTTGCACGTTTCTCCTTTAGCAAGTAAGGAAATTTAAGTTACGAAAGTAGAGTTACCTTCTGCCCTATAAAGAACCATTATGAGTGTTCAGTAAGGGTTATTTGGTGTCTTAATATTGCATAGCTACCAGCGCTGTGTACGTCAATTGGAACTATGCTGTGTAGTTCAGAATAGGCAACATTTGAAAGCAGACTGCACCTTGACAAAACTGGTATGAAGACATCTAACGGAATAAACATTTAAAGAGAATTAATTTGAACATTTGGAATTATAAAGAACAATTTGTTCTCAGTTATATTTTTTGTTCCCCTTCCCAAAGCTTAATTAATGCTTTTTCTTTTTTCTTTTTTTTTCTAAGGAAAAGGTTAAATTTTTAAAAAGAAAAAAGCTGAAGATTTTCACATGATTTCCCATTAAACAAATCTCTTGGTATAATGTTCTTGGTTACAGATTCTCTTAAACTTTTCAAGGAGTATACGGCTGAGCAAAACCACTGCCAGGTTTACATGATGTAGTCAGGCTTTCTGGCTGTTATTTGCAAGCGTAAAAAGGCTCGAGAGAAATGTCATTCTGTTATCTGTTGTATTCTTACAGACTTAAAGGATACATGCAGTTGGTAATGCAGTCATCAGGTATTCACAGTGCCATTGTGTAGATTTTAACAATGTTCTTTTAGAACTATTTAAAACTCAGTGATTAATGCTCATAGAGAATCAATTGCACAAGACAAAAGTACAGTTTATATTATATACATATTTGCATAGAGAATACATAGGCAATAAGAGTGCAATGTGTATCCGGTGTTGCCAGAAGTAATTCTTAGTGATATGCTGCATATAAAATTCTAAAGAGAGATTTGGAAACAAGTCATAAAATCCAAACTGTTCATCTGCATGATGTAAATGAAGGATGGCTGTTACGTGTCGCGAATGAATTCAGTATATAAACACTTCATTCTGCTGCAGCACTGGCAGCCCAGATCTGCTAGTAATAGTTACAGACTTAAAACTGCTAGATGAAACTAAGCAAGACTAAGCAAGTCTGATACTCTGCTGACAATGCTGTACAAAGGGCACTTCATAAAAAAGTATGTAGGATTGGTTTTTGTTGTTGTTTGGAATTATGCATTTGTAGTTTAGATTTGGAAGTGATCCTAGCACAGCAAGGGATGGACTTTCATGTAAGATGAAAATCGGTAGGATCTCCTACCCAGCCAAGCAAAGTTCCCATCCCATCAGTATAAGAATAGAAATTTAGCGTGCTCACTTCACCTTTATAATTCTTCTTCAGAGCAAGAATGACAGAGATGACTGCATTGATTAGGCATAAAGTCATAGCAACTCCAGAATTATTCTGTTTGTCTTGTTAGAAATCCTGGCTGTGCTTTATTGTATAAGTCAAGATTCCACAATAGGTTCCACAATTAGATTTCAAATAGTTGTGGGTGAGGGAGGAAGGAAAAGGCCCTTACTGGTTGTGAAGTCTGAAGAAATCCCTTTGATATCAACACGTGCTTAAGTAATGTGAAAGGAGATTCACCTGCACCATTTTGCAATCTTTCTCCTCTTTCCTTGGAAATCTAGATCACCTCTGCACTCAGCTCCATGACATTGGTGACAGTGTTTAGTCTGCAGCTGCAAAGCATTTTTACAAGAGAGCACTATGAAAAACTAACTAGAATTAAATAGTAAAATTTTTTACTTCAGTAGTTGCTCTGCAACTGTGGATGAGATCAGTGATGCCACTGCTGAACTCTAGCTAATGACTGTGCTGGAAAAAGAAATGTTTTTGTTCTCAGTGAAGACTTTTTCCAAGTCACATACAGTTCTCTGTTTTTATTTTCTTTCTTCAGTGATACTTCTGTAGAAATACTGGGTCTGCTGAAGGATAATGTTTTGTACAGTAAAATTCATCTAAGATGTTTTTTATTAAAGAAATATGCTTTGGGTTCTGCCCATTTCCAGGATTGCTTGCTTCAAGCTAGTATTTTGTTTTCAATCTTAGCCTTTTTTGCAGTAGGATTGCGCTTTGAAACTTGCTGATTCAGCCCACTGCTAGGCCTCTATCTAATAGGTATTGATGTATGCAAAGCTAACAGGAATACTCTGCTCAGATCAGAGTGCTTTGCTTATATGTGCCTTTATTATTTCCAGTAGCTTTCCATGTCACCATATTGCCATATATAGATGAAATTGTAGTTATGTTGTTTGTTTTTGCAGAATGCGAGTTGCAAAGCTGAGAGGTTAAGTTTATGGTCTACCCACTAATACTTGACAAATGTGAATCAGCATCTTGGTGTAGGAAGATTCCTGGCAGGAAAGGAAAGCCGGAGACAGTCCCTCTGGAAATCAAAAATACTAGATTTATTAGCCTAACATCAGTTGCACTGTCCTGTGTGTCCTAAACCAGTAACTAAACTTTTTAAATTATGGTCTAGCTGAAAATTCCATTATTTTTGTGAATTAATGCTTTTCCATGTATTTTTTTTAATTTTATTTATTTATTTGTTTTGCACAGGACAGTGCACAAGACTCATCTAAATATGTTTTGATATCCTTGGGATGACTGTGGGAAAATTTTGATAGTGGTGAACAAGCTTGTTCAAAACATGGACTAAGTTCAGATTTTTAGTTGGACTAAGTTGATTTTTAGTTCTCTACTGTACTTACTCTGATAAAAAGGAACCATTTATTTTAAACCTCATTGGAGAGCTAACAAAAGCTGTTAGAAATCTGTGTGAAATAAACTGCCTGTCTTCATGGTATTTGTTACATATATTTTTATCCATACTAATTTAGTTCTTGAATTAAACAAAGGAAAACATTATGCAGTAGTTACAGATGCAGAAACAGATGGACAGTGGCATGACAATAATCATATCTTCATCAAAAAGAGATATTTGAAAAAGAACTAATATGAAATTGAAACAGATTCTTTTTATTTTCCTCTTTTTTTTTTTTTTCCTCATCTTCCCTATATTAAGAGAACTCCCATTTTACTAAATCAAACTTCTTAAGCTGGCTTCACAGTTCTTTTTTATCTATACACTGAAGGTGTGTTTCCTTTTTTTTTTTTTTCCTCCCTATTCTTTGTGAGTTTAGGTGCAAGGACCTCAGAATACAGTCTGGAAGAAATTGATGAAAAGGAAGAGATGTGTGTGCAGGAGGGAGAAGAAAATGGAAGTATAGATACCGCTCTCAGGACAGGAGAGTCTACTGCAGCCTTCAGCTCTACAGAGGTACCACTGGAAACTGAAAGAAATGATCGTGCTTCATCAGTTCCTGTTCCTGGCACTGTTTCTGTAGACAACTCACAAAGCTTCAAGGAAGAAAAGCAAGAAAATATGAGCACAGATGGCAAGTAAGTACGCTTTGTGACAAAGAAAGGAGCATTGGAGAAGGAATGGGGGAGGCAAATAAAATGCAGGGTACTGTTTCATTGTGGAGCGTAGAATAGAGAATTGTGAGAAAGGAATGAACTCAGTATGCTTAGCTTTCGTTGTAGCACATATCTGGATGCAGTAATTCATGAAGCATTTCAACATAAATCACAAAATGTTCTGCTGGCTATTCTGGTTAGACCGTCTTCTCGTTACTACTAGAACACCCTGACTCTGGAACAGCTGAACCCATCTCTAAAACATCTAGCATTATTACTAGAGCACTTTGCTGTGGAGGGGAAGGGAATGGAGTGAAGTAGAATGACGTGGATTAATTATCATTTAAAAGTTCATTCATATAGTTGGTGGAAAACAGGTATATTTGCTACGGTGATCTATTGCTCATCTGTTACCTTGCTCTATGTATTTGTTTATTTTTTTTTTCATCTGTTAGCCTCTTGTCTGGATTCATCTGCTCTCAGGAAAAATAAGAATTGATTCATTAGTTTCCTTAACCACTCCTTTTTTCTTTTGGTGATGCTGTAACTTTGCCTTGTAGCATTTTTATTAAACCTCTTTTCTACTTTGCAGGTTCCCAACATGATTTAGTGCCTGGTTCAAATCAGTGTTGATTGTCCTAAGAAGTCCCATTGTGTTATTGTAATTCACTATTTATGTGTTTCCTGGGGCAGCTGAACTGGCTACTGTTCCCGATTTAAATTGCAAGAATTATTTCAGTTATTATACTGAAAACAAAATGTGTGAATGCTATAGTAGCTAGAAACTTTGAAGATAATATAGAAAGCTTTGAATTGAATGTCAAGGGTCTTTCTGTCAATGCAGAGCAAAGTTGGTCTTCGCAAATTCTGTGGTATTCTGTCCTGAGTGCTGTGCCAGTTGTTTGGGTGTGTCTGCTCAGTGAGGAACTACGAGGTGGCTCCTCAGCCAAGCGTCATTTTAAGTTCTCTCTTATTTGCAAATTATCTGAGCTGTGTTACTGTGCCAGTTTGGACAGATGTCATGGGGATATTTTCTCACTCCTCTCCCCTGACTTGTAATAGCCTTTTGTGGCCTATAATACTGTTAAGTATCATCTAGTATGCACTGCACCATAGTTTCAAAGTTCAGAAATCCTTTCCTTCATGAAATATCATAGAGATGGGAATGAGAGCTAATGTTTCTCTGACATTTGTTTATGAAAATCTGGTAATTCAGATGTTTTAAGATAGGTCGGGTGACTTTGATATTCTGACGTTTTGTGACTTTCTTTTCCTTTTTCCTTTTTGGTTTGTTTTTAAACAGTTCAGCCCATTGCAAATGGTTGTCATTCAGTCCCTTAGCTCTGTTCAAGGAAATGAAGATAGGCAAGAGTACAGAGGGCAGGACTGAGCTTTAACTTTCTACCAGCATATTTTGAAAGATTCTGTTTAGCTGCTGTTGGACGTTTACAGTACGTTTTGGACTGTACAGGCAACATGAGGATGGATAATTCATTTTTTGAACTGATTCAAAGCAGATGCTTCATTTAATGACAGTGATTCCTAATGATACATTTGATGTGGCAAATGAATTAGAATCTTCATGATGAAGTATTAGTTACTACAGAAAATAAAAGTATCACAGAGATAAAAGTTTGAAGTTCTGATACTTTTTTTTTTAATGAGAAATTTTAAATGTGCTGGCATTTTTCACTTAACTTTTGAAGTCAAATACTCATTATTTTCTGAAAACAGAAGAGAGTTTTTTGAGCACTTACACAGTTCTTTTGTCCCCTCTGATCATAGAACAAACATTGCATGCATTTGCAAAATGTTTAGTATGCAAGTAAGATATTTTATGCATATTTCTTGAAAGGGACAGAGCATCTTTCATTAGTATTTCAAAAAGTCTGTACTGCACAGTTCATATGCAATTGGTGTCTCGTGCAGCTCCCTGCAGATTATGCTGGAGACAAAAATCAAATATGTTGTAAATGTTGGAGGATGTCCTAAGACTTCACACTAAAAATGTTGTTAAGGAATGATAAGCCATTGCCTTAGTGATTCACTGTAACTTGAGTTTTAACTAGAATGGGGCTTGTTCAGAGTGAACGAATAAACAACAACAACAAAACAACGAGGAAAAGGAAAACTGATCGTGTTATGCATACATGGCAGAGTGAAGAGCTGATGTCATTTTGGTAAAATATCATAGCGGCATTTCCTCTCGCTTAAAAAAAAAATAATAATTCTGTTTAGTACTCCAGTGTTTGGCAGAATGATTTCTCCATCTGTGTTTGGAGAACACTGCCAGTTCTCTTGCATCTTTTCTGTTTACTGAAATGAATGATACCAACATATTTAATGTACTGTTATGCTTTGCAGAGAACTACAGACTCAGATAAGCAGTGACCAAGCTGCATTTGAGATAGACAGGAAGCTTAGAATTTTGGAACAAAATAAAAATTATGGTGAGTAGTTCCTACTTGTTTTATTGAAGAAAACTCTATTCCTTTTAAGACAGTTAAAGAATTGTGATAATAAAATTATTTTCTTTATACTTCCTCTATCTCTGGTGTATCTGAGATGAGGTGATAAGAACTGGTAGCACATTTGTTGTTGTTGTAAAGTTAACAAAACACTTTTGATATTAAAATCATGTAACAGAAGCCACAAAGATGGAACTAAATAAAAATTGCATCTAACTTAATACCGAATAGACTTTGAGTTCACCTTACTGGTTCCTATTACAATCAACCGAAATTTATTGGCACTTTTTAAGATGATCCAGTAGTAGGTTTTTGTAGTAATTCATGCATGACACCAGAAGGCTGATAATAAATGAAGAGTATCCGAGTAAGAAGAGAATTATTCAGCAATATTAGGCAAATATAACTATAGTTTTTAAAAGTAAGTATTAAGGAAAATAATAATAGTAGTGAGGAGCTAGTCCTTGTAGTTAAATTTGTTGGATGTTTGAAACTTAGTGATATAAGTAGGAAGGTTAAACCTTGGCCTTTGTATTAATTTCTGGAATCTTTCTTTTAAAGATCACAGTGATAGAACACTTCTTACAACAAATGAAGAAGGGGGAGAAGAGCAAACAGCAGAAATTAAAGCAGTAGATTTCAGGGAAAGCAAACTTGAAGTTGACAGACTATCAAACTGCCAAGTGTCTAAAAATGACATTGCCATAAGTCATAGGAATTACACTCAACTGATTCCAGGAAAGCAAGATCAGAAAGCAAGTCAAACCAACCTGGACACCGTAAAAACTCAGGATGTTGCAATTCAGACAGGTCCATTGGTTAGCAATTTGGAAAGGACTGTGCAGAAAGAAATGTTTGTCCCCCAAGACTATGAATCATCCACATTCAAAGGAATGGTCCTTCAACACAATACAGACACAAACAACCCTGGTGTTCGGGTGATGCAAGGAATATGTAAGAATGAAGAAACTTCAACAGAAGAAAATCTTCAGAGACAAGAAGTTTCATATGAAAAAACGATACCCATGAAAGATGAAATTCATATTTGTACAAATGGCAGTAATGTTACTTCGCCAGAAACAATTACAAAAACTCCAGATGGGTCTCCTATAAGGGGTTACCCTCTTTATAGACAAGACATGAAACCTAAACCTAAGCCTGCTAATGAAATTACAAGAGATTACATACCAAAAATTGGAATGACTACTTACAAAATTGTGCCTCCTCCAAAATCCTTGGAAACAATGAAGAGCTGGGAATCAGAAGCTAGAGATTGTAAGGATCAAGAGGTAACTGCTTCCAAAAACTCTCTGAAGTATGAAGACGCCAAAGAATTCATCATGCAAACTGAAATTCCTCATCTTCCAAAAAGTACAGGTCACTTACAGACTGGTCTGCAAAATATACCTGCTGCAAAAAATGATCTGCTGCACAGAGTGAACAGCATTTCTGAACATGGGGTGCCATCTGGAGCTAGGGTTACCACTGAGGTCAATCAAATAGAAACAGTGTCTTCTAAACAGCATGTTCCACTAATGCTAAGCTTAAGTAATTCAAATACTTCTTCTGAGACTCAGGAGAAGTCAAATGCACTAAGTCCTACAACTAAGCCTAGTTCTTTTTATCTGCAGATGCAGCGCAGAGTTTCAGGTCATTATGTATCATCTGCAATTGCCAGAAGTACCATTTGTGCTCCTAATTCCATTCAAAATGAAGTTAAAAATACAGAGATGAAAAAAAATATCTCATCACCTGATGAAACTTCTTCATTACATACAACAAGTAGCTCCTCTTCTCCAGCAGATGAAGACAAGGATGATGATGGGAAAAAACTTGAATCCTCCATTTCTCCTGTTAAAAACAATAAACCACCCAGTTTTCCCTCCTGTCAGCCAGCACCATTGAACCTAAAAACTCTAAGAACTTTTGCAGTTCCAAAGCCATACTCCAGTTCGAGGCCATCCCCTTTTGCACTTGCTGTCTCCTCAGCAGTCAAAAGATCACAGTCATTCAATAAAACGCGTACAACCTCTAGCCTGGCACCAAGAGAAGAATTTCCTGTTGAACTCTCATCTGCCTCTTCTACAGCTGAATTCTCCTCAGCTGCCTCCATGCCTCAAGTGAAAAACCCTTCCTTACACAGCATCACGGGAGGGCCACAGTATAGTCTAATGGATAAGGTAAACTTTATTACTAATATATATATATATTTATCAGTGATCCACTGTAATGTCATCTTCAGCAGAGCAGAGGCTTTGGCTTATCTCTGAACTGCTTGCTTATCAGAAAGAGCTGTACTGATACAGTGTGAACAACCTCTGGTGTCTGGGAGTAGCACAGCATTATAATGAAATACTAGAAAAAAGGGAATGCTAGCTAAGATGAAAACAGTCGCATTTTGAGTACTAGAAATAATTACTTCTTGCCATAACTAGCATCTAAAACTTCGAAGAGCAGTGAATTAAACAATCATTTACTTATACTGTATATACCTGTTTTCATGTTCAGAGGGTTTGTGTTTTTTATGGTTTGGTACATTGGTTTCTTTAATTTTGAGTAATGTGATGAGTTTTGGTTCAAGTGATCATGGCAGAAACACTTGAACCAGGTGAGAGAACTGAGTGAGAGAAACTTTAAAAAATAATAATAAAAAAAAAAGTCATAAAAATCCACTAAGGTATTAATGTTGCAAATGTGTAGATGGAAATATACCAAAATTCAGAGAGCCATTTCGAGCTGTTCTGGGAGCTTGACACATCCATAAATCTGTGATGTGTAGATGCTGGCTGTCTTGCATATTCTGTACAGTTCTGCAGTATTCTGACAAGAAGCAGTACTATTCGAAATTCTGTTTTTATAATGACCATTTTCTTCAGGTATGGAAGTTAGAGGCTAATCTTTGTTTGGTAGATTCAAAATACAGTAATGCTTCTCTTCCTTTCTGCTTGCGGTTCAAAACACGTTGACAAACTTTCCAGAGTGGCTTCTTCTGGGATGTTTTATGTCAAATTTAGATTTATTTAGATTTAAATTTAGATTTTTCATTAGTAAAATAAATGTTGTGGTGATTATGGCACTTATCTGGGAATGCTTTATAACTGATCTTTGTTAGAAATTTCAATTTTCAAGCAGTGCTTAATTATGCTACAGTGTGGTGTCAAGGGAACTAAATTTAGGTGGTGACATTTTGGAGTAAAAGCCTGTCAAGTCATCAGGAAAACAACAACAACAACAACAAAACAAAACAAACAAAAAAACAACCAAAAACAAACAAACAAACAAACAAAAAACAATGGATCTCAACCAGTTGTAATGCTTGAATATTTTCCTATTTACTTGAGATATAATTTCAAGTTATAAAATCATGGGTTTTTTGAGTGCTTGATTTATTATTTTTATATTTGTGTTTCCTTTTGGAATGTTTTTTTCCATATCGTATCACTTTGTGGTATCACATGCTCATCTTGAAGGAATTACTTCATCATTTTAATAAGTTTCGTAAGTTCCTTTTGGCTTATATCTTTTTTGTTGCTGCTAAATTGAAGATCTGTTCCCAGAGCTACAGTAGAAATGTGGCTAATACCTGAGAGCTTGAACAAAGCAAATATTATAGTGGCACAGTTTGATATGTGACTTCATGTGAGTTGACTTAGTTTTTTCCTTGCTGCTAATTAGCTAATGAACATTAAAGGATGTTTGTTTGTTTGTTTTTGTCCTTCTCACTTCCTCTGTTTCTAGAAAAGCAGCAATGTGAGCAATAATGAGCAACAGATTCAGGCACAGTCAGGTGCTTCAGCTGACCACTCACGCCCTGTCATTATGAGACAAACCTCAATGCCAGTCCAGCGCTCTGACCCAGAACAGATCCACCAGAGCTTGCTGGCTGCAATCCGCTCTGGAGAAGCCGCTGCCAGATTGAAAAGGGTGAGTTTTCCATCATTGCATCCATAACAATGAACTCATGGTGCATCCTTCAAGATTATCATATTAATGCCTGACACTAAATACAGTTAGCTTGGACATGAAGTGCTGTGAATGGGGTCTTTTAATGGGAAGGGAGGTGGGAGGAGAGTTCAGTTTTGCAGAATGAACTGGTGAATGTATACACAGCTTTGTATGTTCATATATTCAGATAGCACAAATATATGATTTTAAGCACATGCTAAGCAGCTTCATCCTAGACTCAGCTGCAGTCTTTTCTAGTCAGGTAGATAGAAGTTTCGAATATTTGTTTTTTCTAGTTATTAGACTATATCAGTTCCCTAATTCTTAGTAAATGTATTTCAAGCCTCCTCCTTGGCATCATTAGTAAGAGATTTCTCAATATTTTGTCGATAGTCCTGGTAGGACTGTTTTCCTTCACTCCCTCAGGTAAAAAATGATGCTTGGTTTCTGCCTCCTAAGATGCACTCTCACAGGGTAAAATAGTGCAGACTTTAAAAATTTATTGTTTTAGATTTGTAACCAGACAATTTAATGATAGTCTCACACAAAACTCTCTTGACTCAGCATTAATATTTTGCATTCTGTATTGAAGAATAACTTCTCATTGCAGAAACTTAAGTAACTCAGTAGGTTTTGTTTTCCTTCCCTTTCCCACTTGAAACTTGAATAAAAGCAAGTGAAGTGTTGTGAGTGGATGTGAGGGTGTTTTAAAATTATTGTTAATTGAAGTTTTTATTTCCCCTATGATCAAAATATGTCAGTTGATGGGTAGATATTAGAATCGCCTGTTTTAAATACTTGAGATTTTGATTCAGCATTGCACTGTAACAATCTCTCTGACACAGATTTCCTGGTATTTCTATGCTGAATAGGAAAATTGTTTCCTACAAAGGTTATAAAAATGCATAGTTTGTCCACAGCTAGATAAGCATGCTTAACTAGTAGTCAGTAAGAGTGCTACATAATGCGCTGAGCGTTGTTTCTAACCTCTGTATATCACTAACCACAAGCCACTGTAAAAACAGGTTCAGATGAAGCAAATACTGTATTGTTCAGAGGAGCTTAAAAGATCATGTCTCTCTGTTCCATCTGATTTTTTTTTTTCTATACCTATTTGATTGCACAAATACATGTAGGCCACTCTGAAAGTAATGCCTTCTGTTTATTTCTATGGAAACTACAATAGATACAAAGAACACAATAATAGTATCTAATAGAACAAATTCTCATCTACAAAACTCTTATTTTTCAACATAAGTACAACCATTATCTATATGTTTTCACCAGCAATGAACAGGAGCCTATAAGGCTATGCTCGTAATAACCTGCACCAGTGGAGGAGACCCACTGTCACTACTTGCTGAAATGCAGTACCCACAACCTCACTGTGCTCGCATCCACTGTTGGTCTCCATAAATGTTCAGCAAGTTGATGAATGTCAATAGATGCCATTTTTTCTGCGAGGAAGATTTTAATGATACACTTCTGCTTCATGTGCACTTTCACATCAGGCTGCCCCTCTGCTGTTATCTGTCACGTGACAACAAAATGTAACAGAAGATAGGTGGGAAGGTTCAACCGTACCACCATCTGCCTCTGATATTAGGATCCAATGTAATAAAATAGGAGGCATTGCTTTCAGAGCAGCTCATGTATTTTCAAGCATTTTTATTAAGGTATTTTTTCCAATGACACTGTGAATAATACTTTTATTTATTTTGCATAGTGTATAACTTTGTTTTATGATTCTATGGGAAATATCTGCAGGCTACAACAGTAACTCGCAAGTATTTTAAAAATAAATTTGTGAAGTGCTTTTCAGAATTCAAGAAATCTGTTGTTACATACTAAAGAACATACTAAAGACAAAAAAAAAAAAGTGATATGGTTGTTCATTATTTTCTAATAGAGATGTTTCAGTGTCTCTGACCCACATAGTCCTTACCAGTCGTACATGTGTGTATGGCGTTACGAAGAGCGAAGCGATGACTAAAAACTGTCTTCCCCTGTCCCTCTCTCACTCTCCTGTGAGTGGGAGATGTTCTTTCCCCATGTAGCATCTGTAGAGACTGGGGGTAAAGACAGGAAAACCAATTAGAATGAAAGGCTGTGAGCATGAATAAAAGCATGCTGTAATGTAGAAAGCAAAAAAAAAAAGTGGGGAAAGATCTGTCAGGTGCCTGCTTCTGTATTTACCTTTCAACATATTCTCTATTCTTTCAGCTCTATGAGGGAGTCATTTAGTAAAAAATGAGGGGGAAGCTGGCACCACTGTCCAAATCCTCTTTTTTCTGTTTTACTTAATAAGTTGTCAGTATGCAACGCCAAGATCTGTGGCCTTTTGTGTTTCTGTCCTTTTACGTTGAATAGGACCCTCAGTAATTACGAACCTAAAATGGGTCATCTGAGGTTTCTTTTTAACTATTTTCCTCTTCAAAATGTTTTCATTTTGTTTAGTAAATTCCGTGCTGTGGTATGCTGCTCACATGGCTCTCATTAACTCCAACTGGAGTTACTGGTTTATGCAGCTACAGTGAAAAGCAGATCTTTGCTATCTATCCTTAAAGTTGTTTGTTCCAAGAAACATTCCTATGTCATAAATGACTGCCAGATTTTGTTAAAAATCAGTTCTATTCAATATTTTATTTAAAATATTTGTTTTGAATGATTTTTTCATATATTTCTTTTCAACCAGGTCTGGAGATTGACAAAAGTTTACATGTTTTTAATAGTTATGCACTGAAGTTTTTGACAGAAGTGTTTGAAATTACTTAAAAACATTTAATCCTACTTCTGCAGCATATATGTGCTTTGTTCAGAGATGATGTAGGAGATGGTTCATTGTGTGAGAAGAGCACTAACTGTAGGAACAGTATCGCACTTTTCTTAAATTAATACCCTGTAACACACTCCAGACAGAAGCACGTTAAAAGTTAGGTTAATATTTCCTTTTTCTCTTTTTTCCCTCCATTCAGGTTGGTCCTCCATCAAACGCTGCATCTGTCAATGGGAGAGCCAGGCGTAACCATTTGTATTCCACAGAAGCGAAAGCGAATCGCTAGATATTATACCCAATATTTTGCACTTTACTGCTCCTTCATAGGCCACCCTAACAGTAACTACCAGTTTTTGAAAGTGATTAGTATATTTTTATCAGTTGGTATAGGAATATGACACTGGGTTCCTTTGATGCCTTGGAAAAGATTATTAGAATATGTAAATTATGGTAATAATTTTCTCTATATAAAGCTGATTATGCTGCTAAAAAGGTTTAAGAGAAGGTGCAGATGAGCTCTGCTTATGTGGGAATGAATGTCAAAAATTTGTTGATTTCAGCCTTCAAGACAGAGCAAATGTAGCAGTATGCTGAAATTACAGATATAAAGCAATCTAAGGATTTTAGATCATTAATTTTCAGTTGCATATTACTTTAACAGATTGTATGAATTTAAATCTACCACATGCTGCCTCCATATTACTTTGTTAAATTAAATTTGTAATTAGTAGAAAACTATATGTGATAAACTATATGTGATACTTTTGTTTCTCTTTAAAAAAAAAAAAAAAAAAAAGGAAAAAAAAAAAGAAAAAGATGTTGTTCTTGCAGCTGATGTAGTTGGGATAAGTATTTTGGTTTTAAATCTCCTTGAATTTTTTCCTGGTAGGATATATTAAAGAAAAAAAAAATCAGGGCATAAATTATTGGCAATTTTTGTACTACTTAAACTTTTCTTAACATTAGCACTACATGATGTTTCCAATCTTCTCTTTGAGTAATTGTATATACTGTTTCCCTAGCACTCAGATGAACAACGCCTTTTGTGAACTAGATATATTTTTAAATGTTCATCAGTATACAGTCACTTATGGATAAAATGCAAATTCCAATTTTGATACTTAATGAAATTTTAAAAATGTATAATTGGATATTTGAATAAGAATGAACTTTGCACTTGTTCATATAAAATATTTTAATCTTAAAACAGCATGATAATACACTTATAAAGCATTCTTGTGTCAGAGAGCTTCTATTTATAGAGACTAAGCGTTAAATACCAAAATTGGAATGAATATATATATAAATATATAAAAAGAAAATGTTTCCTATTATATTTTATCTATTTTTCATTTCTTGTCAAGATGAGACTTTTTGGGAGAGTGGATATTGGCTCACGTTCATGATGAAATAGCTAGATTATGGATATGCCGCTGGGATATTTGCCATATTAAAATATTTTCTTGCTGGATTTGATTTAAATAAAAATAATTATATTTAGTTTCTATTCTTTAACAACATATTTATTTTATACTTTAGAGTCACTGTATAACTCATTGTCAGAAACTGATCTGTATGTGCATTTCAGCAGGTTGTTGGTGGTTTGCTGCCAGGTTTTTGTGCAATAATCTCAGAAATCCCATTACTTTTCTAATACAGGCTCAATTACTGATCACAAGTAAAACAGTGTTAACCTAATGCTGAAACCCTTCAAAGATTTTAGTGAATAAAGTTCATAAAGAGAACTGATGAACATGTGTTCGCTGCTGTTCTCTTGTATTTTCATACCTACAACTTAGTCCTCTGTCAGTGCTTGCCACCACTTCCTTTTCCTTCCACTTCTTGCCTCCAGTTAAGGGCTGATTCCAAGGAGAAACCTTACATGGTAGTTCAAAAGACCTGTTTTGGGATCTGTCTGTAAAACACCGCTTCATCTTTCACTTGAAATTATTGAGATAGAAGAGGTAATTGCTTTGTAACATCTAACTGGGTTGTACTTTCTAGATTTCTTTGTCTTGAGGGACAGTCTTGAAGATGGTAACACATTCCTAGCAATCTACAAAGCATCTGTGTTTGTTGTGATATTTGAATTCCGTTTTTTAAGCATTCCTGTACAACACGCTGATCTACAAGTGGCACAGAGAGGTTGCACTGCAAAGTAGTTGTTTGTATCTTGAGTGGGAGAGAGTTACATACTTGCTCTCAAACTTTTGTTTTCTCTGCTGGAGGTGACTAAATCTTATTTTCTACAATGTAATCTCCATCTGTAGACTACATGATAGTTCATTATTTCAACCAAGTGTGTGGAGTCCAAACATTCTGGGTTTTGGGAAAGATTAAATAACCTTGCTTTGTTGTTCTTTTATTTGCATTTGGCTACTGTACTACTATTGTATTTCTCACTTCCATGTTAAAATTATGCTGCCCTTTGATGTGAACTCCTGAAGGCAAACAAATTTGTATGTAATAGAGATTAAGACTAAAAACGTCTTTCCTGAATTGTAAGGTTTCTCATCTGTGTAACTGAACTTGCTTGGTAATCGGCTTAAATGTCTACATGCAGCAGTACTGTGAAATTTGTCAATACAATTTTCTGTTACTAGCTGGCAAGATTGCTTAGCAAACTTTCCCTTTCTCCCTTCTTCCAGCATACATGTAAGATATTTTAATATTTTGCTATTATATTGCTAGAGATGCATTTTTTTCTTAAATTCTTCTATTAAAACTCTTGGTGATTAACTTGATGTGTTTCTTAATTGTTCAAACAAGAAAACATCTTCTTAAGTAATAAAGCAAGTTTTTCTAGCAACAGCAAGCCTAAGCTTGGCAGAAGTAAATTTTTGTTGTGGATGACTTATGTGTATGGAAAATATCTGTATGTTTTTGTTTTGGCCCAAAAATACTTAGTTTGGGGAATGGTACTAGAGATGTTTTCCAACACAAGGCAACTATTTCTCATACCTTTTGCTGCTTTTGAACAGTAAACAAAATGTTTGGGGAAGAAAATGAAGGACTCTGCAGTAAATATTATGTCAGTATAATTGTATGGACAAAATAACAGACCCTAGAAAAGACATACAGTTTTCTTTCATCACGAAACAGCAGATACTGGTATAGCACAAGAGGATCTTGCTCTGATTCTGCCTTTAAGGCTTTGTAAATAGTGGATGGCTGGGAGAAAAACTAGTAGTTAAAACAAATATTTTAGTTATTAAAGTTTATTCTTTTATTCACTCTGCAGAGGAATAAAATCAAGACAACTGCTTTAATTAATACAATTAAGAGCTACCTGGAAAAGGGAAGCTGTTTTGATGGGAGAGCTTAATTCATCACCAGAGAATGCTTGGAAATCATCAGTGGTGACTAGAGGCCTTGAGGCCAAGAGAAGAGCTCTCATATTTGCAGCTGAAAGATGTTAAACCACTGGATGCTGCTATTCTAGGAAATATATTTAGTAATCAGTGCCCTAGTTCTTGCTCACTACTTGTGATTTGATACTATATGGTACCATATAGCATGAAGATCTCTAAGATAAAGGAAAACCATCAGTCATTAAAATGATGTGGATATGGACCATGAGGCTTGTGATCACACATGCTTGGCAATGGATGTTCATCACTGGTGAAAACGCATAACTAATGGTGGTGATTATGTTAAAAAGTAATGTTTTGTAGCTGAGAATTTGCTCCATCAAGCAGTGCTATTGTGCTTTTGTATCTGTTGTATTTTCCATGGAAATAAGTTAAGGCATTAGTTTAAGAGCAACCTACGTATAACTGAATTGGGAAATATAAGAAGAGATTTTGCCAGTTTTAGTGACCCAAGCGTTACTCAGTAAAAAGGCGACGGAGTTCTTGATGAGGAAGGGGAAGCTTTAAGATCAGTTTGAACTCCTCCAGAAAAACATAGCTTGCTGATTGACCTTTCCCTTGGTCCTTCTCCTTGGAGAGAATAAACTGAAATATCTAATATGCAAAGCCTTAACTATTATTTTAATTTCATTGCATTGGCATGATTCTTCGTAGTATACCTGTGTGCCATGTATGAATTAAATATTATATTCCCTTAGTAATTTAGTGTCAAAAACTGGAGACAGATCATCACCTGAATATTCAAAAGTATTTACGTATCTATCAAACACTTATCAATTTAACCATCTGATTTGTCTGCATTTTTATGCAGCTGTGGTATCTAGTTGCACTGAGTTAAGTGAACTATAAATCTGCAGAAGTCTCCTGTAATTCAGTTTACTGTGAAGATGAAAATTTGTTGTGTGCTAAGAAATGTTCATTAAGTATTCCCTTAGTCTTCAAAGATGAGAAGGTTTCTGTTTAAACTTTAAAAATAGGGCAATTGTCAGTGTAAGGGGTTCTGTTTTTTACTGTTGCTGTGTTCACGTGATGTCAAAGCAATGGTGCATTGCTGTTTTACAATTCTCTGCAAATTTCCTTCATATCTGAATTTCATATTGAACTTAACTGTTGAACAAATGTGCAATTGATAAGATATTTTCACATGTTCGAGTGTGAAGGATCCCTGAATGTCTCACAGTATGCTGTCGGGAGGACTAATCAGATTATTAATTAATGAAATAATGTCACTTGAGGTACACAGGGGCTTTGATTAGACATTCTTGCTAAATGAACTAGGACAGCACCTAAGGATGTCTATACTGGGTCAGTAATTCTTGAAATATTAAGCTGTTTCTCTTTTACTAGAGTCATCACTCCTTTACAGCTGTCTCTGTTCATTTCTTAGGTGTAAATTTAAGCCTGCTCTGATTTATGAATTAGTGTGCTGCTGACACTAATGGGAGTCAAAGCTCTAAGACTCGCATAAGAAGGTCAACATTTCTAACAAGAGAGAAAAATTAACCATTAAAGCAACTTCCCACAAAAAAACTTTGAATTAGTCATTATACTGTATATGTGAAGATCATAAATCATAAGCTTGATGCAGAGATTACTGCATGAGGTTATATTACTGCATAAGGTTTGGTGGTTTAAAATAGTATCTTACTTTCATGTAGCATTCAGATATTTAAATTCTAATAGGTAAGAATGGAAAAAAGAATACTGCATTTTTTTTACATCAGTGTGCTCATTAGAGAATTTTGCTAATTGAAATAACTTCATACGGAGGTCCAAAGGAGAAAACATGGAACATAGGCTATGTGAGGGCTTTAAAGAAGCCTACTGGCTGATAGCCTTTACTTTCAGATAAGGATTCCACTGGTTTGAAACACTGAAACTGAGATGTGGTTGTAGATAAGTGTTTTGTACTTATCTGTCGGGTGTAGACTGTAGCACTAAAATGACATAGATGAATCTTTTGCAAATGTTGAAAGATATGGAAAATACAATTATTTAGAATACAGTTTCTCTGGAGAGCTGAGGCTTTCACCTCCGCATAACTAAAATTGTCACATCATGTGAACAGACCTCTTAGACCTCCTATTTTTGTCTTCAAAGCAATCTCTCTTGTATCACACAGAGGGTAAACATGCTTACGTGAAGCTTTTGCTCTGAGTACTAAGCTGGACTGACCTTGCTTAGATTGTGATATTTAATGTCATCATAGCCAGAGCAGTAACAACACAGTAACACAGCAGAGTGCATAGAAATTAATTTTGAAATGTGATAAAATACAAGAACAGGAATTTTAAATAATGGGCCTTCTTATGCAATACTGAACATCCATGGGGTAAAGCATTGATGCCTATCTCAGTGCAGGGGGAGATCTAAGACCACAGAAGATGCAGCTGCAGAAATTGTTGTATAAATCTGGCCAACGGTGGCTACTTGCCAAGTGCTAGTGTACTTAGTGTACTAGTGCTACTGCACGTTAACCACTAGCAGACTTCTTAATGGTTGATATATTTCTACTGACAAAAATAATAAGCTACTATTGGAGTCAACTTTGTTTCCCCCCAGCTGGTTGTATGTTTGCCTGTATGTTTCCTCTCTTCTACTTTAATGTATGCTCCTGAGCAAGAACTAAGACTCAATGGCTACACTGAAAAGGTAAAGTAAGAACAAAAACATAAATCCTTAAGCAACTGTGAAATAAATTTATCTCTGATTTAACAGAAAGTGAAAATCATCTTCTGTAATATCAGTGGCAATTTTCTAAATGAAACGTTTGAACTAAACAGAAATGTGGAGAGAGATGCATTTGGTCACTTTGGCTAAACATGATTGATCTGGTCAGCAGAAACTATTCAATTTCTTCAAATGCTGCAAGTCAGTTAAATGCTTTCTGGAATCTGAAACTTACTGAGACACACAGATATGGACCACATCAGGGTACACTTGCATTTATAATGTTCACATACAAAGCAAGCCCCTACAGAGTGCTAAACTGCTGCAGTTCTAAACTCCAATGCCTGTGTGATGCAAAGAGGGTAAAACAAACGTGAAGAAGTGGATCACAAATTACTTCCTTTTAAATTGTAGAGGACTGGGAGAAAAATGGACATCCAAGCGCTTATGTGGTCAGGTGCCTCACTTCAAGGATGGGTGTGCTGTTAACCCTTTTCAAAAGCTGCAGTACTGATAAGGTTAATTCTTCAACAGTAAATTTGGGCAGGAGGAGCTGTTGCCAGCTGCAGAAACTACTACATTCATTCAGTAACAGAATTTGGTGAAGATGGGAAATGTTAGTTGCCTACTGATCAGTAGGCACTGCTAATTAGCACTACTAATCAGGAGGGAAAGTAGTATAGCAGACCTCAAGCTTGAATCCAGCAAGAACAATTCTGTCTCAGAAAGGAAAAACAGGCAAAGAAAAACCTGATAAAAAGCAGATATTTCAGATTGATAACCTGAAAGTGTTAAGCAATTTGGGTAAGCAGGAGAATAGAACAAGAACTGTAGGATCTTCAGATAATGTAACTAATCAAGATTAAAGAAATAGTGTTGGTTTAATGGTTTTTTTTTTTTTTTTTTTTTTTTAAATTTAAAGAAAGAAGTATGGTTAGAATGACATAACCATGTTTCACACACAAAAGTTGCTCCACCAGAGCAGGTGGTAACAGTGCTATCTTCAAGCAATAAACTGCTTCAACTTTAAAGAATAAAAGCTGTATGGGTCAAACTGAATGTTTGCAAAGCCTATTTCTTGGCTCTTCACAAGGATCAAAACTGATACTTAGGGAAAAGCATAAGATTATAGCACACACATAGAATAATTACTTTAGCTATGATCTCAACAGTTCTTAGCTCAGATAATTCCACAGTGAAAATTACTTCAATGTACTTCTTAGGCCTAAATAAGCTTTCTTGATCAAGAATTGGTTATTCATTATTTCAACTCTTGTAAACTTTGAGCAGTGACTTACCTTAACCACGTGTTAACTGGAGAATTGTCTTGTTTGTTTGTTGTAAACTTCCACTTTCTGGCTTTTATCCTTTCTCGTTCTTTTACTGAAAGAGGCATTGATCACCAGTCCCAATTCAGTCTGTTTGTGCCATGCATGTCTTCATGTACAATAAGTGGTTTTACACAAGGGTGATTTCTCATATCATGGTATCTGTTGTGGCATGGATGTACAGCACAGTTTTTAGGTGAGGCTTTTCCTTGTTTGAGGGAAGCTAACAATTGCGTGTTTCTAAGGCAAATAATGAAAGAAGGCTATTTTCTATGAGTGACTTGTAGGATACATTTGTCTCCTTCCAAGATCAACAGTTTATGAGAGATAGTTCCACATAATGGTTCTAAATTGCTATTCCAGTTGAACTGGAACTTGCTAAGTCATATTTAGTCACAGCTGTGATCATCTGATTCAAAGATGGTCTTTTCATCTAGCCAGTGAACAAAATATTTAAAAACTTAAGGTTATGGTATGTATGTTGCTCGGTTTACTGTGATAGTTGTTCATTAGCTCCAACTTACAATAAGGACATCCCTTTGACTAATATGTACCACCTTTACATAAGAGTTTTCCATCAATTTTTCTGATGGAAATTTCTGTTGACCCTATTTCATGCAGGAATTGCATGAAGGTGATTATTCACCTTCTGAAATCCTTTAAAGACAAGGATGTCATGTGCTTATATGTTGAATGTTTTGCACAACTCCAGGTGTATGGCATTAGTTGATCTCTTATCCAATCCTGTAATGCCGTTACAGAAGGTCACTAAATTTGTCAGGCATGATTTGCCCTTAGTGAAGCCATGTCGGCTGTCACCAATCACCTTTGTTTTTCATGTGCCTTAATATAGTTTTCAGGAGGGTCTGCTCCATGAATTTGCCAAGCACGGAGGTGAGACTGACCGACCTGTGCTTACATGTTAGAGTTCACTTGTGAAAAAACATTTTGCTAGCAGAAGCACATTGTGAGGCCTAGCAGGCAAAAAATGGAAAAAAGAGGGTGCTTTGCACAAGCTACTAACATTGCTCTGGTTTTCTCGTCTCTTTTTGCTCCCCATCCAACAAACTGAATATGATAGGTAATCTGGCCATAATTTGTACTCTTCTCTTTTTAAAAATAGTATTTCCACTGTAGTGAATGACTATACTGAAGGTTAGTGTACAGCATCAGTTGAAGGAAGGCCATGTACTTATCTGCATGATCACTTTTGCATAGAAATGTTGCTAGCTGTCCAGAAATCTGGAACATGGAGAATGCTTTTACTTCAAATATTTTTTCTGGTCTTACTTGCAATTAAACAGCCTAATTTTTTTTCTGCTGATTCGTTACTGACTTAATTTGTATTTCAATATTAAAGTGAATTATGCTTCTTTAACTGTCTTTAAATGAACTACCTTTGTGGTGTTATTTTTAGATAAGTCTTTTGATAACTTCTTAATGGTACATTAAAACTTAATGAATGCTGAGTAACAATGGAATCACTATGAAAGCATATGTGGTATCTGTATTAATACTGAATGAATGCATAATAATCAGTAAAATTTGCGTGATTTCCACATGAATCAACAGTGATGAGCCACTTAGCTGTTCACTCAATTACATCATGTTTAATTTATGTAGCATTATTTGGACATTATTTTTAAAATGTCTTTAGTAAATCATTGAGACTCTAATTGAGTCTTCATTCCAGTGAGAAATTACACTGTAAATATTAAATTCAGTTTTTTACTCAGCAATTAATTTGTTGAAGCCTGTTTGCAAAGGGTCAAAATTTGATATATTCTATTATCTCTGAAAAATGGAATCCCAATATGAAAACAAATTACCTGTTAGATTACTTCTTTTTCCTTAGTTATGCAGCAACTGGACACTGGAAAAGTATTCACTCTCTGAACTCTGGAAATAATGGCAATACCTCAGTTGTTCTCTATGACTACTGCCACTACTGTGGCATATCACCTTCATTCAGCAGACTCAGAGTTCACTCCTCTTGGGAGGCCCTTCTAGTACATCCCTTACTCAGTCTGCATATAGAGTACAGCAAGGTAGACCAAGTGTGATCATACCAGCAGACAAAGAGGGAAGGAATGTACAGAAAATGTAGATGCTGTCTTTCAATTTTTCTCTCAGTATCTGTCTGAGCTTATATATGGCGTCCTGTGCAGGACAAGGAAAAAAAACCAAAAAAACAAGAAGTATTCTCACTGTTTTGATTACCAGCCTCTGCAGAGAAAGTTAATCTTTTCTCATTTCCAAAGCATTACAAAAGTGGGAGGATCCAAAACCTCACTTCATTTCTCCTGCTTTACGCTGCAATGGACTGAACTTGGGCAGTTGCTGCCCAGGCCCTGCAGTGAAGGTTCAGTAAAAGGCCAGTGGCAAAAAGACTGTCAGCAGCTGTAGTCCTTCACTGCAGTCTTCCACAGTACTGCTGAAGCAACAGATTTTGCAGCTATACAGGCCTGAGACTTACCAGAGGATGCCATGCAAGGCTCCATCTTTACAGACAAGGGATGTACAGACATCTAATCCCCAAGAGAAAAAAACAAAGAAACAAACAAAAAGACAACCAAGTAAATAATCTTTGTAAGGGAAAAGTATAAGAAAAATAATCACCTAATCATGCTTCAAACTTCCGTAGGAACAGTAACCCCCTGCTTGGCTTTCATATTTTCCTGTCAGGTACTTATATAGAAGAGAAGCTTCTGAGACACCATTTTAGTGGATCTATGCTTGAACTGGCTTTGCAGGTAATCCAAGGCAGGTCTGTAGATATTCATTTACAGAGAAAGGCTGGGGTTGCCTATTTTACTCAGCTCAGTTAAACAATGATCTGAATGTGTCTGATTTTTGGCAAAGGTAGCCTAGGCCTCTCACTACTCCAGAAGGAATCTTGCACTCTATTCTCCCAGGCTATTCCTCACAAGTATTTCAGGCCAATAAGTTTTTATTAAGAGCTATTGTGTTTTTAACGTTCTCCCTCACTCAGCTCTTCAATACTAAGCTTGAGAGGTCAGTTCTCAGTTCTGAGAGGCTGCCTCACCAAGGAGGACTGGTAGAAAGAGAACAGGGTTTGGAGACAAAGTCCTATCAGCTATTTACAAACAAGTCCATCACTGTATTTTTAGCTTCTTCAAATTTCCTACGCTAGCTGCTAGTATGGCACTGCATCCAGTTGATTCATTTATAGAGAATTTATCATTTGTGAATACATGAAGCTATCATTTTAATCTGGTGGTCTTTTCGATTTATTATGAAATAATCTGATAACTGGAAAGGCATCTAACAAACAGCTGACCAACAGCTTTGTTAGAAGAAGTGTGGACAAAACTTCATAACGGTAACGATCGTAACAATAGCTGTTCTCATTTCTCCAGATTGCTGAAAAATGCAAATTCAGACCTTTAATAATTGCTGTTCAAGCTTTCATTTCTGACAGCAAAGTGAAAGAGAAAAAAAAATCTTTCCATCCAGGAAGATGTAAAAGAGGCTATCAGCTCCTTTAAAAAAACATCGCTTCATTTTGTTGGAAGAATTTAATAAATTAAGTCTAAGAGAGAAAAAATACTTATGGAGAACCTTTTCATTTTGCTTTAAAATGTCTTTTTTTTTTTTTCATTTATGTTGATCACTTCAATGATTCTGTTCTCATGGTTTGGGAATTTTATGCTGTGCTCATTTAATTCAGCTTTAATTTGAATTGAATAAAATACTGGCTAGTCAGCTAACTGCGATGAAAAAATACACATACAGCTTACACAGAAAGTGTTTGAAATATACAAAAAAAAATCTGTAATACACTTCAGTATACATTTAATAGATTTTAATGGTATAATTATTTCTGATTTGTTATGTAGCTATATACAGAGACTGCTGTGTAAGAATGTATTTGAAAATAAAACGTAATGAGGGTGTAATACCATATTCATTGGAAAAACATTAATATAAAAAATGTTACAAGAAAATGATGGAATGTATGCCTTTGACTACTTGGTGACTTCACAAACATACTTCACAGCAAATTAGATTTCCTTCACTGGTGTTGTGGTTACAATGATATAATTCATGTTTCATAACTCTGAAGAAATAATGAAGGCATTGTAACCAGAAATGTGTCAATTTGAATAAATTTATTATGAATTGCTTTGGTTTTAAAAGCTCCCAATATGTTGCAATAGAAGCCTACATCCTTGCTTGAGAGGCAGCCAAACTATCTGTAGAAAATGGGTTTTTAATGTCTTAATAAATTACTTAGTGGTAAATTTTCCTTTCAAATAAGCAAAAGGAGAAATGTTCTGTAAATGCTATCCTAATAAAAGAGATTGGAATATATGTTTCTTTTAAAGCCACTTTGAAAGAAGACTGGTGTCATACTTAGATGGTAAATTCTTGTTGCTCATGGAAACTCAAAATATTGTGGAAAGTGTACACCCATTTTTGCCTGAATCTAAGTTGCAATGAAGCAAAACAGCCCGTTCAAAAATTAACCCTATTCACTGATTGCATTACATTTGTGCTGAATGCAATAACAATGGGCTACTTCCAGATATACTGAAAAATAGCTTATCCAACTAAAATCATGCAGGCTCACAGAATGTAAATAAGAATCTAGGCAAGATACCTAACATGCACCACGTTTAAGGACTGTTCTGAAAGTAATGCCTCCTGTTTTAATATGTTTGCTCACAACATAATATCTCCTGTTTTATTATGTTGGCAGATGTTGATGGTGGTATGGCAACAGAAGTTGAACCTTTCCACCAATACTCTATACATTTTATGTGACCCATATAACAGAGGGGCATGACAAAATGGCATCTGACGTGGAAGTATGTATGAAGCAAAGGTGTGTCAATGAATTCTTCCATGCAGAAAAAATGGCACCCACTGACATTCACTGATGCTTGCTGTACATTTCTGGAGACCAAACAGTAGATGTGAGTACAGTGAGGTGGTGTGCGGTGTGTTTCAACGGCAGTGTCAGTGACATGAAAGACAAACCACATTCCAGATGGGCAAGCAGATTTTTATGAGTACAGAACGCAGGCTCTTGTTCATCACTGCTGGAAATGCACAGATAATAGGGGAGACTATGTTGGAAAATAGTGTTTTGTAGCTGAGAATTTGCTCTATCAAAAAGTGTTATTGTGCTCTTTGTAACTGTTTTAGTTTCCATGGAAATAAGTAGGAGGCATTACTTTCGGGGTAACGTATATATGTTTGAATGATTTGGACATTTTAGTGACACAATCTGGCTTTTCTGATTTCTTGGCCAGAGGCCTGTAAAATTTTTCTATTTGCAATGTTAACATTAGTACTATTAAAAAAAAAAAAAAAAAAAAAGGCGTTTAAAATAGAGTGGCTACTGAACAACTCCAGAGCACTGCAGCTCAGTGCAGAATCACCTTTTAGACTAGCCTTAGAGATTACTGTCAGGAGTACTGAAGTATTAATATATTTTGCCTTCTTTATTTTTAGAAAGAAGAAACCTTTATAGTTATAAAGGAGGATGGCCTGATTGCTAGAGTACTAATTTTGGACTTGCAGTTTGCATTCCTTGCTCAGCCACAAATTCCACTAGATCTTTTCAAAGTCACTTAGCAAATTAATTGCACTGTCAGATTTGAGTTACCTAAGTCAGGAGGGAGTTCTCCCTAGTTTTCCAGTGTAGTCACAGGATACAAAAAGTTCTTCTGGAATGGCTGTCAACACTAAGAGCCATAGTTGCTTTTAGTTGAACTCTGGAGTTCTGTCTCTCTCCCTGTGTTAAATCACGTCACTGCTCTGGTATCATGTATAAAGTCAGATACTCTAAATACCTACTTACTGCTAGTTTTTAAAGACATTCAGGCACATAAAGGTGCAAATGCTTACACACCTGCATGAAGGGAAAAAATGCACTAAAATGTTAGGTGTACTGATTTTGTTATAATTATGTTCATAATAAGTGATGAGATTGTTGTTGTTACATAGTGTTCCTAAATTTTGCATGAATAACTTTTTAACGTAAAAACTTCCAATTACTCAGCACAATGCTTTTAAAACATGAACAGCAGGTTTCTTTTTAAAGGTTTATTCCATACTATACTCCCTGAACATAGATTTCTTGGAAAAACTTTTGAGACAGAGCAAATACCATTTCTTTGTGTTAATGTTGGGGGATTTATTCATCACAAAGAGTCCTAAATGCCCTATCAGGTGATGTATTAAGATAGTGGCAGATACTATCCAATATTTGCAGTACCAGGAATCCCAGCTGGTCAGATAAATGTTTGTTTGTTTTACTTTCTGTTATTTGGGAGCTGTGTAACTTCTGCATAGTTAAAGTCCAGCCAAGCTTTCCATTCCAGAGCCCATTTTCAAAGCATTTTAAATTGCATAAGCACAGGTATGTTGATTTAATATTGCTTTTGCTGTGTTAGGACTGGTGCAAATTTGTGGGTGCAAATCTGGGCTATGTCATTCTAATGACTTGAAGAAAAAAATTTTGAAGAAAAAAATCAGTAGAATTTCATTTCGTTTCATAAGTTCATAGACAATCTATATTGTAAGCTGCATGTTGGAGAAGCAGAGAAGAAACAATGTAAGTAAAATTTAGGCACCTAAACACAAGTGTCTGCTGCCATATTTAGTGTCCAAGAATAGCTAAAACACATACTGGGCTGTCACATATGACAGCAGATGAACACGAAACCCATCTCTCCCTAGGACAAGGTAGAATAGGTATTTAAATTAGTAGAAGTTTGCATTTAGGTAGATGAGTCACTGTACATCATTTTTTTTTTCAAAAATACATAATTCATTTTGACTATAAATTTCTTGTACCAAACTTGTACTTTGATAGCAGAATTTAAATACTAACCTATGTGAGTCTGACCATATATATATATTATTTTGCCCCAAATAGCTCCTCATCTCCCTTTCCCCTCATGCGTATCAGAAGGTAAGCTTTTGTACTATTGCTTCAGTGTCCTTGGCAGCAACTCACAAATGGCTGGATTTAGGAGTGGTGTGGTTGTATGTAAAAAGGTCTCCTTTTAGCACTACATTCCTTGGTGGTTTGGTTTGGTTGTGTTTGTTTTACTTAATGCTTGCATTTTGTTTCCCCATCTACAAAATGACTACTGTTAAAGGATCTTTAATCTGATCTCCCAACATGTCACCTCACCTGAATTTCTGTGCTCCGGATTAACACAAATGGTCTCAGATAGCATAGTAACATGCAGCCTTCCTTCCGTAGTGAATATGTTTGCGTACAACATTCTGAAGATACACATGGCCAGAAATTGGGTTCTCTCTTTGTATAAGGTATTCTAGAAAGGAGGATACAAAAAGTATCAGTAATACTCTACTGATGTGAAATACTACTTTCAAAATTTAACTACATATTTTCTCAGCTATGCAATCCTTAAAGTTGTTCACTGTTCACTGTATTTATTCCAGAGGCACTAAGAAAACATTAGTTATCCCATGGATATATATAAGAGATTAATAGGAGCAGAGAAATGTATTCAAATAAAACTATTTCTTCCACTGCAATACTGTAATTACAAGCATTTGGCAGTGTCATTAGTTCCCTGACACTTGACAATTCTCTTCCACAAATAACCATGGCAGTATATTATGCAGTTCATCTATTCATAACTACCCAAAAGACTACACGTAGCCTACTGGGTTCAGACCCGTTAGATGAAGGTTTAGTCAACGTAATCCATCCACATGTAACATTCACCTGGATCTTTCACGGTTCTAATTGGAATGGAACTTTGTGCCCTAAAGATTTTCAAGGTTGGCCAGTGCAAATCACATCAGCTAGTGTACAGTCTATTATAGATGCTGCTGAATGATTGTTTTCATACAACTTTAGACTGAGGGAGCAGAAGCCGGTATATCATTTTGTCTGACCTGCATCTGACAGCCCCTGCATAACACACAGTCATACCTATATCAAACCTCATTTTTTGCATTTAGCTACAAAGATCTATTTCTAAAATCATGAGATCTCATTTCGTTTTGATTGATCATCCTCAAAACCCTGCAATGAATTTAATTCTGTTCATGTGTTGCAGTTTAAGGTGACATTCCAGAAGGGAGATGTTCTGGTCTGAGGTCAAAGCTGTCACAGGAAATCACAGAACTTGCTATTGAAAAAGCAAACACTGTTGTCAAAGCTAGAGGTAAAATCCACCCGTAAGCTCAAGTTTCTTACAAAAGTACTCTTAAGTATTCATACTTTTCAATAGAGAAAAATCCCAAGCCCAAACTAAGTAACAAGACACAGCACAAATCTGCTTCTAGATAGAAGTGTAGAAGGAGAACATTAAGTCAGGGGAAGCATTACTGTGCTGTGGTTTGTGCAAGCATGCATAGAGGAGGGAGGTTTCAGATTAGTTTGAATAGCAGCTTCTGGAAACTACTGGGCTCGGCATCACTGATTTAATCCCTTGGAACCTTTTCCTTATCTGCAATGAAAGATACACATTTTAGCAGTAATTCTAAACCTAACATTCGATGTCAGCTATAACAACAGGCAAAACTCCTACAAAACATTCAACCACAGATAAACTTTCAAAGAGTTATGCATGACTGCCAAAAAGTTGACTACTGATATCTCCAAGTGTTTACGGGATAAATTTGGCTCTCTTGAAGTACTGCCCAAACAGATGGGCCAGTTGTCAAAGCTAAAAATGAGCTTCCAAAGAGCTCACGAAGGCGCAATGACACCACCACAGTTCCTGATGTCAGGACCACAAGGAAGAAAACTTAATGTGTATTCAGCATATTCTGAGTGCATTGATACAATGAAGTCACAAAAATTACAGATGGAGCTTGTAGAGGAAACGCTACACTGGGAGATAAGACTTGAGCATGGTCATAGCCTTGTATTGGGAAAAGAAAACTACTTATGTTGGTTCAACCTAGTAGGTTCAGTAGAAACAATTCTTTGCTATTGGTACTGTGACAGAAGATGGTGTAAAGGTGTGGTACTGTTTTTCTATGCAGAACCATCTTTAAGACACTATAGTCACGTTTTTTAGACAAGTTTAAAAAAACAGACAAAATACTTTGATTAAAACAATGGATAACATGTGGAAGGGAGAAGTAAAAAAATCCTTCACAATTTTTAGAGATAATCACCAGATAGTTTGGATTTTTTAAACTTTGTCAGTAATACCTGTGAAAGCTTACTCTAATTAAAGGTGTAATTTTATCACATTAATCAAGTGCTGTGGTTCTAAATAGCATATGGGCTTTTGAGAACTGAAGAGCTTGATTTTCTGAAAGTGGGGTGCATACTGAATAGCTTGAATCTGTTTTTCAGGATGTATTTTTAATTTTACTTGAGAAACACCTGGATCTCACTAGGATAATAAAAAACTGACATTTTTTTAGAGAGAAAACAAACCTACTGAGTTGAAGATTGAAGAATGCCCAGAAATTAGGCTTTGAGGAAATGTAAGTCTTAGCTTCTGCAGTAGAATAGCCCTCATTCTAAGTATGAAAAAGTAGACTAGGCAGCTTAGGCATGTTCATGACAAAAATGAAGCCAATTCACACAGTTCAAGAAGTATTCTGGTGCTAGGACTTAGCAGAAATCTGCTAGCCTTTTATTACCAGCACTAGTAATTGTTCGTCAATTACTGGGTTTGTTCTTGTTCAAAGAGAGAATTAAAATGTTACTCTCGAACAGAGTGCAGGTCAAATGCTCTCAGATCTCTTCAGTCAAACTCTGGCAATATCTCTTATTCTTACAGTTATTCGAAAGGAGAAAGTAAGTCAGAAAAAACTAGTCCCACATTCTCATCTACACAATGCTTCCTATGCTACGCTGAAGCAATCCCTTAGGTCTTCCTGTGCCTCAGCTTTGTGATGACTGCGTTGTCTTGTTTGTGCACAGAAAGCAGAAGGCACAAGGATGGTCTACAAGAAGAATTTAAGAATTCTTAAATTACTACATTCAAGTGAAATTATAACAGCATTTCAATTTAAAAAAAAATCTTTTTATACAAGGGGCTCTTTTGCTGCCATGACTCATTAGAAACCTAGCAAAGTTATTTTGAAGCAAGTAAATATTTATTTCATAATATTCTAATTGTGTTGTTCTATTTGCTTTCCATTTAAAAATAATTACGAGATGAAGCCTAAAGCACAGAAATCTACCATGTACCTCAATTTGTAGCTACAAAATAAATTGTCCAAATAGGCCGAAAACCTCAAAACATACTTTCCTTCCATGGTTGAACTTTTTAAAACCTGATAGCTGCTTGAAGGGCTCTTATCTCTTCCTGAGCCCAGTTTTCCAACCAGAACACACACACAGTTGTCCTTCCTCCTAATCTTCTGAAGAAAGTGAAGCTTTGTATGCCACATACATATTTACAAGTGAATCAGTTAGACAGAATTAGTCTGGCCTGTGCAAATGTATAAAAAGATAGCCCTTTGGAAGCAACAAACAAATCAAATCAATCATCTGACAGTGTAAAATTCCGGATCTGTTTGCCAGTCTCCGTATATAAGAATTCTCAATCAACTCACACTTGCACTTCTGCTGTCAGCAGAACACAGAATGAACTGTTCTCAAGACAAGGGATCCTTAGTTTCATTGAAAAAAAAATATCCTGCAAAATCATCTGCAACTCAGCTAAAATGAAAACTGTGATTATTGCTTCTATTTCAGGAAAAAAAAAGATATCATCTTTCTGCAATTCAAAATTTTGGCTTCTGTGTGGGAATTTCTTCAGTGGGCTCAGGAAAGCAGAAAAACATGTTTATCCCAAAGCACTCTCTATTCTCATCAGTCAGATGTCAGCTCTGCTTCTGAGCGAGTTAAGGAAAATCAGGTTTCTACATACAGCTGTTTCTGCCAGGGCTTGAGCCCAACCTCTGAATTATTTTACCTTTCTATCCTATTCAATGGCTTATGTGATTTTACACATTCCGCTTCATGCTGTGAAACTGTTCTCCACGCAGCGAGGGGGTATTTTTATCGAGTAATAGGATGAACACTGATAAGAACAGCCGTGGAGCCACATGGTTGGCATCGCGTGTAGCTGAAGCAGAGCCGGAGCTTCCTCACGAGGAGCAAACCTTCCCGCTCTGCTCCGGGGAAGCTGAGGCCGAACGCGCGCCCTCGGCCCAGCTGGGAACGCAGCTCTTCCCCAAGCTGCCTGCTCGGCTTTAAGGTAACGGCTTCATTTCCCAGCTTTGCTCACTCCGCATTTCTGCGAGGCGTAATCGTGAATTCCCGACCTCACAGAGGGATCGGGCAGCTCGGTTAATGACCTGCAAGGCACTGAGAACGCTGCCGGGGCAGGCTGCCCGCAGACGGCAGCAGCGGCGGGTCCCACCGCGGCACGAGGGGCGGCCGAGGTGCCACAGACACCGATGGAGGAAGCGTTACTCAGCGACCAGGCGCGGAGGCCGAGCCCCGCGGCCGGCGGTATCCCGCGCAGTCGCCGCCGTCGGGCGCCACTCGGCAGCACGCCGCCTCCTCCCGCACCGACGGCCCGTCCCGATGCCCTGAGGGGGGCAGCTGACGCGAGGGCCGCGCACCTGCCCGCGCCGCTCGGTCCCGCCGCCAAGGAGGAGGCGGCCGGGAGGGCGCGGGTCGCCGCCTCCTCCCCCTGCCCGCCGCGGCGCGGAGCCGGCGGCCGCCCGCCCCCGCCGCCGCCCGCGCACGTGTGTGCCGGGGAAGGCGCTCGGTACGGCTCGCCGCCCGGGCGGCGCTTACCCCCCTCTCCTTCACCTCCTTCCTCCTCCGCGGCAGAGCAGCCTCCGCCCGGCGGGGCCGGGGCCGCCGGCCGACGTGCCGCCCGCGCGCAGCCGGGACGTCCCCGCCGCCGATGGCCGCCCCGTGGTCCGGTGCACCGCCCGGCGCCGGACGGGCGGCAGAGCCCGCGGGCAGCGGCTCTCGCGGCGCGGTGCGCTGCCCCAGGCCGCCGCCCCGGGCTCCGAGCGAGGAGCCGCCGCCGCCCCCCGACAGGTGAGGCTTTGGAACGCCGGGAGGGCGCTGTGGAAGAGGGGCGGCCGGGCACGACTTGCGCGGGGTGCGAAGTTGCCTCGCGGTGCTGCAAGCGCTCGGTTCCGCTGCGGGAGGGGCTGGCGCTGAGGGGAGAGGTAAAGGCGGGCGGGAGGGCTCCCAGTCCTAGCTCCTGGCCCCAGAACGCGCTGAAAAGTTGCGAGGTGAGGTTATACGAAATGCAGTTGACGCGGAGCATCTCCCACTGTTCCCTTTTCTTAAAAGAGGTTTCTCAGTTTGAGGTGAAGAGAGGTGGCGTTGCCCGCTCGGGGCAAAGGGAGCCGCTCCTCCTCAACAGGCAGCGCCGGGCAGAGCGAGCCCTCTTCGTGCCGCCGGGCTGGAGCCGCTAGGGCTGACCATTCAAGGCATGGAGCTCTGGTTTTGGGCGAGGAACGTGTGACTGGGCTTTTTATGACGCATCTGATCGGTTTTGGTAGACTGGAGTTCAGGATGTATCGAAAGACCGCATACGACAGATAGTTTCTGCTCTTTTTTTAGTGCTTAGTACCACTTTAAGTGAAGGTTCTGCGTGGGTTTCCATTAAGAGATCCATTGCTGTTCCACAGTTACTGTACTCTGATGGTTTCCTACACTTTTGTACCAATCAGTATGCAAAATCTAGAATAACACCGATGAATGTAATAAATACTAAGCTTGGAGCTATCAGCTCCCACATGCAGAAGGGTCTAGTTATCTGTTGGCAGGTTAAAATACCTGAGTGTTTTGGGTCCTGCTCCCCAAATGAAATCAAGCAGAAAAAGTGCTCCTTGATATTTTTTGTGTAAGACGGCCATGTCCTGTAATGCAGCAGTGTCTTATTTCACCGTCTTATTAATGTAATATTTTGAGCCAGTGCCTAATGGAACTCTTCTGCAAGTATAGTAGTGATTATCTTCCCAACTCTTGCAAGTGCTGCTTGCTTATATTTGTGACACAATTAGATTTAAGTCGCCAGAAACTACTGAGCCATTTGTATTGTGGTGGGGCTATGGAGATTCAAACACAAAAGTAATTGGAGACAGAAATGAGTGTATTGTTCTGCACTGTTCTGTCTTGTCAATCACTTTGACTCCTGGTTCTGGAGGAAAAAAAGTTTCTGTTTGATTAATATGTAGTTGTGATGTGCTTGGGAAGTATTACTGAGAAGTTACATGCATCCGCTGTTGTAATATTTGTACATAGGGAATGGCATGAATACAGGAACAACAAAATATTTACCGATGTCCTTAGGAGCCAATGTAAATATATCCATGCTCTTACTCTGCAAAGACTTACCCGTATTCAAACAACTTTATATTCAGAGCTGAATACTTGGATTGCTTTCAAGTAGAATTAAGCACTGTATGTTAATAGATTCAGCCTACTGATTAAAAAGTAACCGTACAAGAAGCTAATTGCTGCAGCTAGCAACTATCGGGGTACTGGTTCCTTAGCATGGCATGCAATGTAGTTGATTACTGCAATTTTAATGGCAGTTTTTGTGATAGTTATTATTCTGTATTTTATTGAACAGGAGAAAAAAGACAGACGGCAAGATTTTGGAAATCCCATCAATTCCAAATCCGTTTCCTGAGCTATGTTGTTCTCCATTTACATCAGTTTTGTCAGCAAGTCTGTTGCCCAAGGCAACTTCAAGAACTAAACAGGTAAGATTTGTAAATTATTATTTGACGAATACTAAACCGTTTTCATGAAGGCTTGAAGAAAACCCAAGTTGCCTATTACAATATTTTTTTAATAAGGATGTTCCATATTTCTGTAATTTGGTGTAATTTTCTCAGTAGACCATTACTGGTTATAGAAAATGAGGTTTCAGAATCTGACAGTTCTTTCACAGACCAAAAATGTGACTCTGCAATTTTTTATTTTTTTTTTTAATAAAGTGGGACAAGGAGCAGACAAAATTTTACATCCTTAAATAAGAAGTTGATTTCTTTCTTCCTCTCTACCTTCAATTATTGTCATTAGTGCTATAGCATGGAGGGTTTTAACAATCACTCAACAGCTCCTGTTATCTGGAAGTCTAATTTTGCTAGAGTAATTGAATGAAAAAGTAACTGCCAGGAAAGGAATAAACGCTGGGCATGGCTGTGTTTTATCTGTGTGTGCATAGTTGATATTATATATAAGTGTGTATCTGTGTATATTTTGTATGCATGTTTACAATTATTGTTAAGCATGTATATGACATATGTCTTGTTACTATGCTTCTATAAATACCCTAAAATGTAAGCAAAGGGGAGTTGCGAGGGGGCAGACTGACAGCCCTTCTGTGCTCCTAGTGCAGCATATTCCTTGTCCCAGGCAGGGATAGAGGATAAAGAGGAGGAGCTTCCAATTAATGGGGATTGCTGATGTTGAAGATTTATCTTACTCTTTAAAAATTTACCTGTCTCATTTCTCTGTTCTTTTTTTTTTGAGACTGGAAAGAATTCTGACATGGAGCATTCGTGAGATTAAAGGTGCTACCTCTTTCACATTGTGTGTTTTGGTGGTCTGTGAGATCTCTGTTCTAATAATTTTAGGGGCAATAATGAAGGTGTAAAAGCTTACACTGCTGATATTTATTCACTCTTTTTTTTTTCTTCTTCTTTTTCCATCACGAATTTGTATGGAAGTTAAAGTTTCTTGTAATTGTAGTGTCTTTATGGACTTCTCTGAAAGTGACCAGCCATGGTTGTTTCTGTGTGTCTGCTATAAAGAACAGATGCTGGAGACTCACCTAGCAAATTTTTGGGTTGATGCATTAATGAGATCCCTTTCTTTTCCTCCTTTCCTCCTTTCTTTCTTTTTCCCTCTCTTATGTTTGGTAAACTCCACAGATTCTTTCTTGCCATGTATTACATATTCTCTAAAAATAACTGTAGTGGCTTTCTGGACTGTTTGCACTGCTTTTTTTTCTTTCCACCAACAGACTACTAATGTGAAGTATTTCTGGTCAGTTTATATGTAAGCATGGCTGATACAGTAGTGTAGAATCATGCTAGCTTCATGTCTGGGCAAGGCTGAAGTATTCATAGTCTTTTCACAGAGGCAGGAAAAACGCCGTCTTTCAAGAATAGAAGGACTGCAAGCCACATTTAAAAAAATTTGTTCAAAATACTCATGTTGCTAGCTTAAATTGTGCCCATTGTGGTGATCTTTTTGCTTGCAACTGTAAGGTATAGATTTCCCAACCATGAATTAATATGCAAAGGTCAGCTGTCTGCTTTTGTGGCCTGTCATGGTTAAAATTACTGACTGGTACGATCAGTTAAATCAGCTAAATGTGATCTTCGGGTGCTCAGAAACTGAAGTTCCTCTCTTGACAGATTTCACTTCTGTTTCTTAAGCACTCTTGTTATACGTTTTTATGACAGTTTCTCCTTGCAGTCCTTCCATTTCTCCTGGTTTTTCACTAAAGAATATAGTACTCTCTGGTAGAAGGAGAAACGAAAACAGCTGGTTACTTAACAAGGTGAGTTAAAACAATAATAGCATGCATGGAAAGCCTGATCCATTTTCCAGAGTGCTGAAAAATTTAGAGTCTTTATGTTTTCTGGAGGCATTCTTACATGACCACAAGTTACTGTCCACAGGCCTTTTACCTAGATGTGGAGAAACTGTGTTGGGTGAGGTAGAGCATTAGGCAGACTCAGCATGACTGGTCTTTTGTTATTAATCTAATGTTATTAAAGTCTAAGTGTGAATGGCAGCTATTGAGTTAAACTCATATATCTGAAATTCAAGTTGAGGTCTTCTAATATCTTTGTGAAATTACTTAACTGTGAAAAGGAGAGGGAATGAATGCTAAGTGCATCTGCAAATAGGAGGAGCAAACCGGCTTTGGCTTTGACTTCCAACAGTTGGCTGTGGAGGCCGTGCTTGGAAGCGTGGTATTTCCATACCATGTTCAGGTTTTGTCTACTTTGCAAAAACTCTGTCTGCACGCACCTAATCAGTGTGTATTGAAGCCTCTAACTGAAAGTAGCCCCAAGGTCACACTTATTACTGTTGCAGTTTCCTAACTTTTAAGATAAGTGAGCTAAAACTTAAGCACTCTTTTTTCTTGTTCTTCTACTACTTTTTTGTTCTTTGTATACAGTGTTGACAGCTGCCAGAATATTTGAATAATTTCTGCTGCCTCTGTGATGATCTACATATGTTTTCAATTATTCTTGTTTTAGATTGCTTTCTCTTTGATTTAGTTTGTGCTATGCTTTTAATTTCAGGAATAATAAAGAAAAATTACAGAGTGGGTTTCTCCTTATATCTAATAGATAACTATTATCAAAATATGTGTTTCTAAAATAATAAAAAAAAATGAATGTGCAACTCTTTTGTCTTATTTTTATCTCCAGAAGATATATTCTATTTCTAAGGAATAAAAGAAGTTTTCAGAAATATCTATTGGTGCCATTACCATAACATGTCATAATAATAATAGATAATTATAATATATATATATATTATATATATTTTATATATATATTATATATGTATATATATTATATATCTTTTATATATATATATTATAATAGATAATCATAGATGTCATAACATCTATGACATCTGAAGGGGTGGGATACTTAAATATCTTTCAAAATATATTACAAACGTTATTTTGAACTCTTGTTTTCCTAAGCTGAAGTTCTTACTGTCTTTTCACAGTCCATTACCACGAGCCTTATAAAGCTTTTAAAGCATTGAACGTGCTGCTTGAACAGCATGTCTGTTTGTGGGGCTGACTTACTGGAAATAAGTTTGTAAAAGCCACATAGCAGAATAGTGGGTTGCCTCTGTGCTTGGAAAGTGGGACATCTGTGTGTCTGAACGTTGTTCAGTCAGTCTCATCAACACAGCTGTTGGTCTCCTTGTTTCTCCTCTGTTTGGGAAGTGTTTTGTTTTATATTCTCAGACTCATAATTTCAACATGTTAACAGTAATTAAAACAAGCTTACTTTCAGAGGCAAACTTGATTATTTATTGTCTTTCTTCCTTTCCCCCTCGCTTTCCATCTCTTTCCGTGGATTGTCAATATTTCTGGTCTCTTGGTCTCAGAAGAAAAGTATGAACTACAACTCCCAGAAGACTTCATTTTTCAGTTTTCTGTTTGGAGGGAAAGATAAAATGATCTGAGAGCCATGAGACTTCCCTCTTTGCTCCCTGTCTGCTTTACCTACAACATTAGAGTAAGGACTTCAGTTTTGAAAACTCTTCCTCATCTTATTTGATTTATTAGTTTCAATTCCAATCACATTGTATTATACTGTGTTATCTCACATTACACCACTATATTTAGTAAACTGAGTTTTTTTCCCTTGTCTCATTGCTACTTTCATCCAGGTTCATCTCCCTACCTTTTCACGAAAAAGTGAGTCACTTTTTAATATCCTCACCCTTAAGAGGGTAATATGGAGATGAAATCAACAGCTGAATGTATGGATAGTAAAACCATTTTGTGGATTATATAATTTACTATGTATGAAATCATCAAATTTGGTGTCCTTAGAAGAAAAATAGAAGGGGATTGAGTGCTTTTGATATAAATAGCATTTTACTTGATGGAACAGCTTGTTATGGATGTCACCTCTAAGCAAGTGCATGAGAAGAAGATTATCAGAAGCTATGAAAGTAGTCTACATGGATTTGCCAAGGGGAAGTCATGCTTGACCAATCTGGTAGCCTTGTATGATACTGTGAATGGCTCAGTAGATGGGAGGAGAGATGGGAGGGAGGATGCTGTGTACTTTGACTTCTGCAAGGCTTTTGACACTGTCTCCCGTAACATCATCTTAAGCAAGCTCAGGAAGTGTGGGATAGGCCAATGGTCAGTGAGGTGGTCTGAGAACTGTCTGACTAGCAGAGCTCCGAGTGTTGTGTGCAGTAGTGCAGAATCTAGTTGGAGGCTGTAGCTAATGATGTTCCCCAGGATCCTGTGTTGTACAACATCATCAGTGACCTGAAAGAAGGGATAGAATGTACTCTCAGCAAGTTTGCTGGGGTATATTAAAAGGTCAGTGGTGTGCGTTAAAAGGCCAGTGGGGTGCATTAAAAAGAACATGGTCAGCAGGTCGAGGGAGGTGATCCTCCCCCTCTACTCTGTCCTGGTGACACCACATCTGTAGAATTGCCAAAAAAGACAGATTCTGGAGAGAGTCCAGTGGAGGGCTGCAAAGATAATGAGGGACCTGGAGCATCTCACTTATGAGAAAAGACAAAGACATGGAACTGTTCAGCCTGGAGAAGACTGAGGACGGATCTTATCAATATTTACAAACATCTAAAGGCCAGGTGTCAAGAGAATGGGGCCAGGTTCTTTTAAGTGGTGCTCAGCAGTAGTACAAAGAGCAGCAGGCACAACCTGGAACATAGGAGTTCCATATGAGCATGAGGAAAGGCTTTTTTATTTTGAGGATGACAGAGTCCTGAAACAAACTGTGCAGAGAGATGGTGGAGTCTTGTTGTCTGAAGATACTCGAAACCTTTCTGGACACTTTCCTCTGAAACCCACTGTAGAGAAGTTGGTTTGGAAGTGGTTTTGGACTAGATAACCTCCAGAAGTCCTTTCCAACCCCTATGATTCTATACTAAGAGCATAGTGGGAAATGTTGCCTTTTTTTGACAATATTTTAAGTATTGGCTGTTGTTAGATGAAACCAGTGAG